ATATTTTCAAATATATTTTTAGTATATCCAGAAAAAATTAACAACGAATCCAAAATTTGAAAGTAGAATATTAAGAAATGATCCAGATCTCTTGGCCTAATGGACTAACTTCTTAAAATTAGTGAATAATTTATTGTTAATAACGTGATATATGGAAAACCCAGTTATCGATTTTGTGTTTCTATGATTGGTTTTACTTATAGGATTTCATAACAAAAATTGTAATACCTCATGTTAAAAAAAGTATCTAAAGCTAAAATATCTACGGCAGATAGTACTTAACCTTATAAAATATATTTTGAAGTCTGTGAATTGCCAAAAATAAAACCGTGAGGAGTGAGAGCTGAATTAAATTGAGTTAAAGCAGACAATATTATATAAGAAAGAGTGAATCAAGCTTTACATATAGTATCAGAGCTAAGAAAGATTCATTCTTAAGATAGGAGGATTGTAACATTCTATATCGAGAGAAAAGCGTCTAAAGTCATGGTATATAAGGTAAGTGGTACCTAATCATATAGAACGTGTTTTAGAATCTGTGAGCTATTAGAAATAAAATCATAAGGTGTAGAATTCGGGTTAAACTAAGCCAAAATAGACAATATTTTACAAGGAAAAGTGGTCAGACCTTACAAAAATTATCATATGTCTTTGGATTAGGTGTTTATCTAAATGTTTTTATTAAATTATTTAAAAAAAAAAAATAAGAAATACTCATCAAGTATTCCCTTAAAAAGTTGCAAAACATTGACAAACATTATAAGTTAATGGAAACTTTAATGATTCTTTAGTAGTATTAAATATCGTGATCCAATATATTTTTTAAAAAAATTAAATTATTTTTTGTGTTAATATTTTTTTGTGTTTTTAAATTATCTTAATAAATTGATGTCAAAAATATTTTTAAAAATAAAAAATATTATTTTGATGCATTTTAAATAAAAAATACTTTGAAAAATAACTTTTATTATACTTACAAACATGCTATTATTCTTGTTAATCCACATTTTTTTTGGAATAATTTTTTTAAAAATAAGAATTCAAAATTTAAATGATAGTCTATTATATCAATTGAAGATATCATCTCATGACTCATTCATATACTATACATAAAGTTAAAGAGTGCAGGAAAATCACTATTTATCTATATTCATTGCACTGTGGATTATAGTAATTCATAATATATTACTTTTTTTTTCACATTTTTTTCACTCATAGTGTGTTACTTTTCTTCGTATTTTTTTTAGTTTTTCTTGCAACATAGTCCCTGTTTTTTTCTTTTTTGTTTTTCTTGTGTTTTTTCCTCAAAACTATCATTGTCAATTATACTTTTTTAATATTAAAGCGTTTAAAAATTTTGCATTGTAATTTTTTTTTAAATATTGTGGATTGTTACGGTGTTTTTCACATGTTTTTTCTATTTGATTTTTTTATTTTTATTTTTATATTAACCTAATTAAGAATTTAATTTTGTAATTTTTTTTTTAACATTGTTAATTGCTACAGTATTTCTCCACATATTTTTTTTTTATGATTTTATTTAAAATTATCCTTTTGATCTTATTTTTTAATATTGCGTTTGTTAAGAATTACAGTTATCATATGCGAGGAAAGCACCATAACTTTTTTTTTGTAAATTATTGTGGATTGATACAATGTTTTTTCCCATATAGGTTTTATATTTTTTTAATTTATCTTTATTATTTTTATTTTTTAAATATTAAACTGGTTAAAAATTACAATTACAAGTAAATACAAGTAAGACTAAATTATGTGGGAAAAACACTATAACTTTCTTTACAAAACACTGTGAGTTGATATAATTTTTTTCACATGTTTTTTTTTCTAGTTTCTTTTATGTTTTCTTTTTTTAGTATTTTTTTTAAAAATTATTTTTGTCAATTGTTTTTTAATATTGAACTAGTTAGAATTTAACTTTGTAATGAAGCTTAATTATATAGGGAAAGCATTATAGCTTTTCTCACAAAACACTATAGATTGCTACAATGTTTTTCCACGTAGTTTTTTATGATTTTTTCAAAATTATCTTTGTTAATTTTTTTTTAATATTGAGTTGGTTAAGAATTATAATTATAAATTATTATAAATAAAGCTAAATCATATGGGAAGCACTGTGACTTTTATCACAAAACACTATGAATTGTTACAATGTTTCCAATATGGATTTTTCCCTTTTTTTTAATTTGTTTGTTATTTTATTTTTTTTTTTTTTTTAATTTGTTTGTTATTTTATTTCTAAAATTATCCCTATTAATTTTTTTTTAATATTAATCTGATTGAGAATTTAGCTTTGTAATTTTTTTCTTTAAAATAATGTGAATTGCTGCGGTGTTTTTTCGCATGATTTTTTTAAAATTATGTTTGTTAATTTTTTCAATAATATTGAGTTGGTTAAGAATTATAATTACAATAAAACTAAATCATATGGAAAAGCATTATTGTTTTCCTTATAAAATACTATGGATTGCTATAGTATTTCTCAAAATATTTTTTTAAGATTTTTTTAAAAAATTATTTTTGTTGATTTTATTGGAGAAAATATTGTAGTTTTTCTCACAAAACATTGTTAATTGCTACAACATTTTTCCTCATGGATTTGTTTCCTTTTAAAATTATCTTTGTTGATTTTTTTTAATATTTTTGATAAAGAATTTAGTTTTGTAAATTTTTTTTATTAATAGAAAAGCTAAATCATGCAGTGAAAATACTATATTTTTCCTCACAAAACACTGTATCTTTCATCACAAAACATTGTAAATTGCTGCAAATTATTTTTTTTAGTCTCTAAGTTTTTGATACAAATCATTTTGTTCAATATTTAAGTTTTTAATTACCAACATAATTTTTTTCTATCATGAAATATTAGCTCCATCATACCTTTAACTTCTATTACTTATCTAGCATTGATTTACAATTATAACATTATCAAATATATATTTTTTATAAACTTACGATAGCACGCAGACATGTCATCTTGTAAATTTTATTATAGATCATGAAGCACGTAAAACTCAGAATAACTCAAATTAATGATGTTTCATTAGTTATCTCGTAACATTTATTTTAAAAACATAAATAAATATAAAGGGTAAAGAATGTAATATATTCACTAGAATTTTTTTCTTTTATTTATATTTCTCAAGTGAATTTATACGAGAAACTAATAAATTATTAGTAATTATTCCCTAAAAATATAAAATTACTCTATCCATTTTATTCTCTTAAATCAAGATTATTGATTTAGGTTTCTAAAAACCCTAATAACTTAACAAGAAGGCTTTGTTTGTTTTTGTATTTAAAAAATATTTTTTTTTATTTTAAATTAATATATTTTTAGTATTTTTAGATTTTTTTAATATGTTAATATTAAAAATATTTTTAAAAAATAAAAAATATTATTTTAATATATTTTTAAATTAAAAATATTTTAAAAAATAACTACAATTCCATTTTCAAATACACTCCAAAGCATTCATTGTCAAACTGGGCATGAGATGCCTTAGTCGCCAATCCCTTGGCCGAATTTGACAATTGCGCTCTCAAATTAAACAGTGTGTGTTTATATATATATATATATCTAAAGAATCAGTAAGGTATATACAGTAAGGGCAAGCTCCCCCACAATTGTCAACTTCCTCCTCTGGTGAGCTTTTGTTGACGGTGGCGAGGCATATAGTGTCCAGTTTCACGGCATGACCACCACAATTTCAGATTTCTCAAGGGAAGTTGACATTATGGGCCTTGACAATGCCTGGACCTTTCAAGGGCAAGCTTGAATACTTGGCATGGTTGATCTTCCCTCTCTACAAATGGTGTTTTTGTTTTTTATAACTCAAGATGTTCGAACCAACTTTCATAAGCTATAATTAATTTTTAGATTTATTAAATAAATTATAAATCCAATAAATAAATAAAACATCATGAGAATAATAAATATACGCAGATATCATCCAACCTAGATGCAAAAAAAAACATAAATTCCTTTCTTCACTGGGCCACCACGCTCATGTGCAAAAAAATAATCCATTGGCTATTGAAAATTTCCCAGCTGGGTGGTCAATTTTCAGAATTACTTGAAGGTGTTGTTTTATATATGGAATATTTAATTAGTAATTGAATCCCTTAGCTGAATAAATTAATCAATTAGTCTTTGTAGCATCTTAAATAATTAAATAGTCCATTGACTAAGATCGACCATCCATAATTTAGTAGTTTTTTACTCTACAAATACCTTTTTTAAAAAAATCAAAATTTCCCATATTACCTAATTTTATTTTATTTTTTAGTTTTAAATAAAGGAAAAAATAAATTAAAAAACACAGTCTATGTAATAAAAAAATTATAATTTTTTTTAAAATAAAGATGAAATATATAGTTTTTCAAACTAAAAGGATTAAACAAGTATGAACCTTTTTTTTTCTTATTCCACTCGACTCTTTCAAAAGTTTTTCCTATGATATGAATATTCCAATATTTTAACTTCTAAGTTAGCTGTCTAAGTTTATCTTGACTACAAACTCAAATATTTATTTTAATATAAAGTATTAAGGTCATATTTGTGGTAATTAAGTGAGTTCTGCTTTTTTTAACAAGATTTTTTTTCATAGTTCTTATTAATTTATATTATTCAAGGTCATCTATTTCATAGCAAATAAATATTTTACTTCTTCCAATGCCAAATATATATTGCATTTTTACTCTATTAAAATTGACACCCTATTATCATAGTTTAGAATTAACCTGGAGAAAAGCTTGAATCATTAAATTATTAAGTAAAATTTAAATTAATTGTTTTTATTAAAATGATTGAGATTAAATGAATCAATCAAATCATTATAAATCTAATCGGATCAATTATATTTTATTAAACTAATATCTTATATATATATATATATATATAAAAGAATTTAATGAAAAGGGGCATTATAGGAAGTGAAGAGAACTGTAACGGCTAGTTAGACTAGTGCAATTGGATGAAGATCTTGGGGGAATGGGGATAAAAAAAAAACCCAGCACGCTCCCCAAAGCAGTAGCCTCCTATCCTTTAACCACATTGTCCACTTTCTTCATTACAGTAACACACACTTTCCTTACTTGGAAGAAATCTAGTACTGCGCTAGGGTTTCTTGTATTCTCCTTAGAAGAGAACAGGGGATTTTTTTCTCTAAGTGTACAAGGTCCACTGTTTGCAACAATGAACATCTTCAAGAAGAAGACTTCTCCTAAAGGTACTGTTTTTGTTGTTGTAAGTAATATGTTTAAAGTGGGTTTTGTTTTAGATTGGTGATTGTGCTGTAAAATTTTGAACTTTTTCAGTTTTGGTGGAGTAGAGGATGTTTTTTGCTTATTTGGGATTGTGTTGCTGTTAAAATGTTAATGATTCTGTTGTTTGCTTTGAGTTTTGGAGTGGAGGATCAGGGTTTGATTTGATAGTTTTGAAGCTTAGTTTGCGTGAAATTAATGAAGGATTTTTTGAATCCAACAGAGGCTCTCAGGACTAGCAAGAGAGAAATGGTGGTTGCTACTAGAGGTATTTGTGGTTGTTTGTCCTCGAAGGATCAAAATTTTGATTAATTGTTACCGGGGTCAATTGGTTTAACAGTATAGCTGGAAACTTTCTGTGTTAAATAGTGGCAAAGCTATTATGCGTTTTTGTTTGTCTTTGATTTCTAGGTATTGAACGTGAAATTGCATCACTTCAACTGGAGGTATGTTGATGTTGCTTTTTTTGCAATGGTTTTGGATGGAATTTACTACCAGGTCCTTTTTCTTTAATTTCTTTTTCTAAATTGTACTCTGTAATGCATTTTTAGGAGAAGAAATTGGTGGCAGAGATAAAGCAAACAGCAAAAACCGGAAATGAGGCAAGTCTATTTATTCTTCGGTGTAGTGGTTAAATGGTTCATGGATGAGAACAAATATAAACATGACCTGTTATGATTTGTTATGAAGCATCATTTGACATCGTGGAAAAATTGTCCACTTTAAGAAGTTGCAGATGCACCATTGAGGTGAAATGAGATAAAATAATTTTAGAGTTTAGGGAATGAGATGGTTTGTGATAACTTAAGACTGTTCAGTGAAAATTGCTCAAGAAATTTGAGTAATCTGTAGTTGCTGCATAAGTGTGTGCTGCATAATCCATGCAAAGGTAACTTGGTTTGTTCGAAGTCATAGCTTGGAGGTGTTGAGGATGTCTTCTTGGATAGCTTCTTGATAATGTAAGACTTTTGCTTGATGCTTAGGCTGCTACTAAAATCTTAGCCCGGCAACTTGTTCGACTTCGGCAACAAATAACAAATCTGCAGGGGAGTCGTGCCCAAATCAGAGGTGTTGCTACTCATACACAGGTAACTTTCTGTCTGCACAATCTAGTTTGTAAGTTTAGAAGGATCTGCAGGGTTGTTTTTGTTGTCTGATGTTGATTCCTTCGTCTTTATTTTATGTTCACAGGCGCTGTATGCCGGCACTTCAATTTCCACTGGAATGAAAGGTGCAACTAAGGCAATGGTGGCTATGAACAAGGTATTAATAGTGATGCAACCGTAGTATAATAGTTTTTATTGCTAAACCCATCCTATTTATGAGACAGGTATTCATAGAAAACCATAATTCCATAAACCCATGTCTTATTGGAAGAGACGCTTCAAATGGGAAGTCATTCATACTCTGTAGCGCTTGATATAGTATCATGTTCAGCAGTTACGTACCCTTCAATGCACTTAAGTGGTGGCTATGGTTTGTTAGAGATGATGTAGGAGACATTTCATAGTGCAAGTTATGATCTATTATCTTCTTCTACTTCATTGACTGAGAGGCGTTACAAGCATGAGCCATTTGAACTGTAATGTGGTAGACAATACTGCAACATTTTTCAATGGTGCACATGTCGATTGGCTTGTACGGTGTTGACAGAAAGAGATGTCAAAAATAGCATAAAAATAAAAATGAGAGTATTGGATGACCTAATGTTGTGTTCCGGTGCTGCTTTGCAGTAGAAAGGTGCACAACAGGGCTGGTTGCTTAGATTACAGCGTGTTCATCAAAGTGCTCACATAATCCATTGAGCTTGTAGTGCTCATTTGGAGGCTAATCTCCTGAAATATGTTTAAGCATTCTTTACAGTCGACTGGAGTATATCAATACCTTGTTTTTTTTGACAGCAAATGGCTCCTGCAAAACAAGCTAAAGTGATCAAAGAGTTCCAGAAGCAGTCAGCACAAATGGATATGACGGTAATCCTATGTTCTGTTTCTACAACATTTCATTTTTTCCTATAAATTCCTGTGTATAAGTGGAGTTCCCATACTACTACTAGCAATCAAATGATTATTCTTAGATAAAAAAAGTTTGGAGGAGACAATGCACACACAACCATTGTGCCGTTTCTTTTTTTTGACTAATCAGAGTGACAATGTGCAAGATGCCCCCTATCATCAAGATGCCCCCGTTTCTTTTTCTCTATGACTGATTTTGTTGTATAGAGTGGTATTGGGAGTATCTAATATCTTATTAAACATTTTGCAGATTGAGATGATGTCAGAAGCTATAGATGAGACTTTAGACAAAGATGAGGCTGAAGAGGAAACAGAGGAGCTCACTAACCAGGTGAAACATCAGCAGCAACAATTTAGTTTGTTTTAGTTTTATTATAAAGACCTAGTCCATCTTTAATTTAAATAACATCATTTGTAGGTGCTTGATGAGATTGGTGTGGACATTGCATCTCAGGTTTGTTTTGTTGAGATTAGTTGTCTCATGTAATCCTTGGTTGTTATGCTTTCTTAATTTCTGGGATGTCTAATCATATGTATGATTCTGATCCTTGTTTTTAACAGTTATCTTCAGCTCCAAAAGGTCGGATCGCAACAAAGAATGCTCCTCCTAATGCTGTTACAAGGTATGACGTAGCACTTCACTTTGAAGTGATGTCCATTATTTAATCCTTGTTGAATGAAAAAATGGCTCAAGCAAATTTAATTTATGGCATTGCCTTGTGAGTGAAACTTTCAAGTTGGTGATATCCCCGGCTCACAATTGGTGCCAAAGTAAAAATATACTCTCAGCTTTTTTCTGTTTAGTTAAAAGAGACTGAACATGTGAACAAAGGGAGAAGAGAAATCTTTTCATGTTTGCTATAAGACTAGGACCACACCTAGATATTCTGCAAACAAGATAAAAATTGCTAGTTTTGCTATTTTGTTAGACTTGGATATAATATATACCCTGCAAAGTGCAAGCAGCTATGGCAGTGCCTGGCCTTGATCATTGATGAGTACTGCAACTTGCGTAGAGATGTAGTCCATGCCAAGCTCGTGTTGGAATATTACAGGGTTCTTGGACTCTAGAATCTGTTAGTCCCTATAATATTATATTGTCCAGAGATTTAGACCATGGCGTGCTGGGATGGCTAGTAGTGTTGGTTGTGTGATGGTTGGGTGTGAATCATAGGCACAATTTGTTGGGTGGTGGATGTGGCACCAGTTTAGATTTTATCATGGAACATTACCACTTTTTAATGGGTAAAGCATATTTGATGGGGCAAGTATCTGAAATAGAGGGATCTATTGGGATTTGTCTATGCTGAAACCAGAAATTTGTTGTATTGAACTTTATTCAGAAATGGGGTTCTGAATGAGTGGTGTGAGAACTGTGATGATAAGAGATTTCACCGTTGATATTTCCCATCAAAATAACAAGAGCCCAGAGAATTACTTTGGAACAATACTTTACGGACAATACTTTGAGCTAGCATCTGAGCACATATTCTGTAAAATGACGTTTTTCTTGCGACAGGAAGCATATATAAACGAAGTCTTTACTCACCAAAAAATTGTTATACTAACAAACTCTTTTATCTGAATTTGTATGCAGTCCCGAATCTACCAATGTTGAGGATCTTGAGAAAAGACTGGCCTCTCTACGACGCATTTGATCTGGAAAACTTGTAGCAGTGATGCTTGGAGCAGAATCTTAATGGGTGTAAATTCTTACAAAAACAGTCAGATGCATGAAATGCCAATTATAGTAGCAGCATTGTCTATGTTATTACATATTCTACTTATGAGAAATACCAGCATACTGGACTTGATATATGAACAGGAGAAAAGGTATTGCATAGTGAAAGATATTCTGATTTTGTACTTGCATTTGTTCTCATTCTTTTACTCTTACCCTTTTGGGCTAGAATGTCATTTCATTTGGGTCGTGGGAGGGTCTAAAATACCCAAAACACCTAAACTGCCTCCGTAGCCTCCTGGTCCTGGAGGCGAAAACCCCCTTTTGATCATCTTTCAGCTTGCCCTAAAGACATGAAGCTACATAGAAGGGAGGAAAAAGAGATTTTGAACATCGGGACAGCATGCATGATCATCAAAGCTACTTAATAGCCTTGTTGCATTCCAAACGGAGATTGGCCAAATTCTTTGAAAATAAAACATATTTTTGTTAGATTTCTTTAGTCAACTTTATTCGGTCACTTAATTTAAACAAAATACTAAATCCAATAATTCCATCGTACAACCCTTTGTGCATCAGCATAATGCTGATGGGGTAAAGCATAGACCATGTAGTAGCCGGAATGGGGCTGCATAAGCAACTTGCTTAACACATCTTGTCATCGGCATATTTTATAAGTAAAAAGAAAGCTGGAAGCCAGAGTAGCTTTATGCACAAAGCAAATTCATTTCGTGCAATTGGCTAAGGAATTGCAACTTGGTTTAGGTATATTCTAACGAGAATCTGTCTCCATTCTTGATTGATCCATGAACCAAGAATCAAGTTGATTTATTATGCATATAATATAACTCCTAATGGTCCAAGCTCCAAGCAACTTCTTTTGCTGCTGAGGTCAATTTGGATCTAGCCTTGTTCTTATCATGATGAGATATGTGGGATCAGGAGATTTTTGTAGGCTTCAAATTCTTTGTCTGGAATCATCATCAGGATGGTTTGACATTGGACCAGAAATATGCAAGCATCAATGAACAACGCCAAAATGGCCCTGAAGTTTACGTGCAGCTCAATTTGGGTCCCTCTTGTTAGTGAAATTACACCACCCACCATGGATTCTTCCTCTTCGCAGGTCATTAATGGCATGCGGAAAGGACTTCTGCACTTCCCACAAGATTTAAAAAGGAAATTGATCGTCATTTGCATAGGATTCTAGAAGGTGTTAAGCTGGACTTTTTTAAAATCTTTGATTTAGACTCATGGGATATAAAATATTGATGTTCATTTTTCTTAACTTGCAAGTCTCTCTTTTTTTTATCGTAATTTGAAGGTCCTTGGATAAATTCTCCATACAAATTCTTAACCATTTTTTTTTATTGAGATTAAATCTTTTTATACACCAAGCTAAGTTGTTGACCATAGCCTATTACAAAACACCCTAGAAGTGCTCAGCTTTTTCCTGTAGTATATGAAGAGAAATACTTTGGGTTTAAACAATGTATTAACTATTTTGTCTTGAAAATCAAAATGTTATTTGTTAATTGATCTAGATAATTTAGTAAATTTAAGTTTCTTATATATATTTTGAAATTATTATGTTACCCTTTAAAGCTAAAAAAATTAAGTTTTTTGTTCGGAGATTATATTTGCATAGTTAAAAACAATGATACCCTGGAAAACTCAAAAGTTTTGGTTACGTAGAGAGTGTTTTTTTTTTTTTTTTATAATAAAATAATATGTCTAGCCTTTGATTATAAAAAATTTAAGCCCGGTAAAGAAGGGTGTTTTCATCTTTACAACATATTTTATTATATTAGGATGCCCTTAAGGGCTTTTTAGTAATTTAAATATTAATAAATCTATATAAAAAGTTAATACATGCTACGCGCACATCATTATCTTAACTAAATGAGAGGCATGTGATATGTATTATAATGAGTATTGAGTTTAGTGGATTAAACTGGTTAATTTTAGTTTTTTTAATTAATTTTTTTAATTTTATTTTTTAATATTTGATTAATTGAGAATTAGATTTTATAATTTATTTTAATTTTTTTTTTAAATTTATTTCAACTCATGACCCAAGTTACGGATTTGATAATTTGATTCGATTGATTTGAGTTATTTTTTTAAATAGTTATTTTTTAAATTTTATTCTTTAAAATTAGGTTAACTAAGAATTATATTTCATAATTTATTTTATTTTACTTCTATGAGGTTATTTTGGTCTAATAATTCGGGTCACAGGAGTAACTGGTTAATTCAAATTGACTCGAGTTGTCTTTTTATCTTTTTCTATTTGATTTTTTTTTCCAGTCTCATCATTCAATATTAGATTGATTGGGGACCTGATTTAATTTATTTTCTATATAATTATTATAGTCTCATAACTCAACTTGTAGACTTTACATATTAGCTTGGATTGATTTGATTCAATTCAATATGTTTTTGTCTCAATATTAAAAAAAAAGATGTCACCTTGAATATTTTTTTAATCATATTATGTTCTTGTTAAGATTGTTTTTAGACCCATTAAGTTAATTGAATTATATCAGACCAATACTCATTTGATTTAAAAAAATTTTAACTAAAAAATACATTAACAATACTTGAATACTTTTTTTATATGACTTGCATTGTAATGGGGGTTAATAATCTAGTATGAATTATTAGATACTATTTAATATATTTTTTCAAAATATTATTTCACATAATTTTTTAAAATTCATTTTGGTCGTGTGACCAAACACGTGTGACCACAAACATATTAATAATCTCAATTAATTAATTTTTTTTTATGAATAAAATATGTCATCTAATAATGTCATAAATTCACAAAACCTATGTGTATCTCTTGGCATATGGCGTAATCATGAAAGAAAAAAACATTTGTCTATATACATATGAACTCCTCTTTATTATTATTATTTTGAATTTAAAATTATATATTTAATTTTCAAAAAATATAAAAATTAATATATTTTTAAATTAAACACATTTAAAATACAATATTATTATATAAACAACTAATATTCAGGTGTTATTTGGTAAGACGATTCAAATAATATTTTATAAAAAAATAATTTTTTTATTATAATTTTTTTTAATATTTTAAAATTTTTTTGATATACTAATATTAAAAATAATTTTTTTATTATAATTTTTTTAATATTTTAAATTTTTTTTGATATACTAATATTAAAAATAATTTTTTTTAAAAATATATATTATTTTAATATATTTATAAATAAAAAATATTTCAAAATACAAGTAATATCATAATAACAAATATTATCCCAGCCTAGTTCGGAAAGTTGACATGTAAAATATTTTGTCCTTTAAAATAAAAAAATAGGCTAGTTCTATAAATAGAAACAAATTGAGGGACCTAACAAGAAGCAGAAAAAACTTTAAGACAAATAAAAGGAAGCTTCTACTCATACCGTTGACAGGTTCTATTTCTATAAACAGGACACCCCGAAATCTTTCACCTTATTTTTCACATAAATTACAAAAAAGCCCTCCATTTCCTTCCTTTTTCTTACCCGAATCAGAAAATGAAGTCATAATACATTCAATCTTATCTATCTAAGCCCTCGATTTCATCAATCTATCAAAAAACCTACCTTGGTTTTCCCCTTAAAAATCGAACTTCTTTCTTTTTTTGAAGTAATTCAGGTTTTTTTTTTTACTGCCAATTTTGATCGATCTTCTTGTTTTGACGTTGAATTTATGCCTGCCCTTGAATTTTTTGCTCAACTATCATGTTTTGATGTTAAAGTTTGGTTCTTTTTAATGTTTCTGACCTGGGTTTTTGATTTTTTTTTGTAGAGAGAGAGGGAGAGGGAGAGGGAGAGAGATGCAGAGCCAGGTGGTGTGTAGAGGGTGTAGAAGTTTATTGTTATATCCAAGTGGAGCTACTAATGTTTGTTGTGCTTTATGTAGTACCGTTACCTCTATTCCTGCTCCTGGTATATAATTCAGTTCCCTCTCCCTCTGTTTTGTTTGTTGAACCCTTTAATGTTTATGTTTTTATGTGAATGCTTTTCGCCTTTATTAATGTTCATGATAGGCGCATTGAATGTTGGTAATTTGGAAGATTTAGGTTTTTGTTCTTCTTTGTAATTGGTACTGGTAAGTTTAAAAATTTCTTCTGCCTTTTGTTTTAGTGTGTTCTAGGAGATAATTGCTCGAAGAATTGTTGGTGGGAAAGATGGAGGCTGTGGGTTTTAGATGAATTAGTTGACTTGGGTTGTTTTAGATGAAATTAGGGTTGGATTTGATGATTAGCTTTGCAGGTTAGAATTTCATCGAAGTTGTTGCTTTGGATAAATTTGGAATTTTGTGCGTTGTGGAATTGAAGTTTAGAAATGGATGAAAAATGCCTCCAGTACTTGTGTTTTTACTATTATAAGAGAGTTACCTTTTGTATTATACTGGATGTCAGTGTCATCTAAGATTAGCCATGGATTTGAAAACAGGAATGCCGTCTTGCGTATTTCATAATCCTGCTGTTATCCACTGAGTGTTAACGTTTCATGCTCATTGTCTGGCTTCCATTGCTTATACCAAGTGCCAATTCTGAGCTTTTCTTAAAATGAAGGGACTAGCTTGTTCTTAGACTCTAATGAGAATATGCATTTGTATCTGACATATAAGTTAGATTGCAGTTCAAAAGGATTTGGTAATTTAAATCATTATAGCCTTCTTCCCTGGTTCTTGATATGAATAGACAGCCTTGTTACCTATATTTGTAGTACTAGTTATGGAAAACAACCAATCCCCCAAAATGTCCACATTCTAGATGTTGAAATTGAAATGGTTGTGGAACGTCCACTCTTTTTTATGAGGATATAAAAATGCTCCAGTTCCATCTCGTTCTCTTTTGACTTAAATAAAAAAAAGTAAAGAAAAAGAATACAATATGTGGTTGGAATTTCAATTTAGCTTGGATATAATTAAAATATATGGTGATAGGATATTTGGGTCCAATTGCAAACTTGCAGGGATGGACTTCGCTCAACTCATTTGTCGAGGTTGCAGGACATTGCTAATGTTTGCACGGGGGGCAACAACTGTGAGATGCTCCTGCTGCCACATAGTGAACTTTGCACCAGGTATAATATAAGCATTGTAAAATTATTTCATACTATTTGACAAATTTGAATTTGCAATTTGCAAGCTTAACTCTTCTAATCTGCTCCATAACAACAGAAATAGTCTTGTGCTGTTTTTCTTTTTATAGTGTAAAGGTTTAGGTTGATAATTTGCTTCCAAGAAGGTTGGATTGCTCTTTTCTTCCATGGACATTTTCTGTGCCTTATCAAAACATTTCAGATACTCAAGGGGGAAAAAACTAAAAGACAAGCAGTATATAGAACTATTAGCAGGGCACCAATGATCCTAATTAATTATAGAATGTAGTGGTGAGAGTGGTATCTTCTTTTTGAGATGAGAGAATTCATTTCTAAAAGTTCTATCTCACTTTATTGCTTATTATCTTTTCCATCTCACTTGCTTTCTTTTAGTAGTTGCTTGCACTATTTTCCAGGTTCCTCTTTTATTAGGTAATTGCTATTGAATTTTTAAAATTTGAAGGTTTGGAAGGATTAGTAGCTGGTGCACTTATGGTTACTGAGAGTGGTGATATGGATTTATTTTGATACCCAGTTTCCATCAATTTACCTACTGTCAATGAAACTGGAAGTTGTTCCCATTGGCTTCCTTTGTGCACTTTCTATCATTTAATTTCTAAATTGCATGTATCGATTGTGCTAAGTTTCCTTTATCTTTCTCTTTTGTTTGGTGGTGTGTACTGATTTGCTTTCTCTATGTTTTTGTGGCTGTGTGAGTAGGACCTAACCAGGTTGCTCATGTCAACTGTGGGAACTGCCAGACTACACTTATGTATCCGAATGGTGCTCCATCTGTCAAGTGTGCTGTCTGTCACTATGTTACTAACATAAATGTAAGTGCATTAACTATATTGAGGCACCAGTATTTACCTTGTAAAATTTGCTGTGGCTGCCAAAGATTTAAATTATCTTCGGTTTTGGCTCAAGTTTTTTGCTTCTGTTATTTAAATTAATTTCCATCTCATGATATGAACTTCAGTACTTGAAGTAGTGATCTGCCTTTGCATTCGTGCATTGGATCAAGATTGTTTCCTGTTAATGTTTGGGCACATGCTTGCTCATGAACAATAGTTTATCTAGTATTCTGCTGCCTACAAATTATACGAAGATCTTCATGTCTTTCTATCTCTGGATGCATATAATGATCTGTACTGTATGGTTGAAATATTTGAATTCCATAAAGGGATGGATAGTGGATAATGTTATGTAGTCATTAGGAGTTTGTCTAACATGATTATTGCCTCTCTTAAGGACCGTCTTTACCATCATTAATTTTACAAATCTCCCCCCCTCCTTTTATACATCCTGCTACTCGTTTCTTGGTAGTTATTGCCAAATCGCCAACTTTCAGTACAAAGTTAAAGCCTGAAGGTAGACATGTGTATGAGCTCAGAATTTTTTTAGTTTTTTTTGTTGAGGACAAATAATAAGTTGTGAATGAGCTTTCCACATGCCATTGAAATTGATTTATAGCTCCTCTTTTTTGACAGTTCTCTTTGCTATGATAATAAGCAGTGTCTTTAGAAAACGAAGTTTGTCCACAGTGACCACCCAACCTGAAACTTCTTCCTTGATCTTTTGATAGTTCTAAGTATATGCTTCTGTGGTTTGCTTTGTGATGCGTTGCAGGGATGATCTTGACATTTTTTTAGTAAATGTGCTTATTGTTTAACAAAATTTTCCTTTTCTTCTGAATGGACGCTAGCTCTTTGTACTTGCCAGTTGCCTCTGGAGTCAATTGGAATAGACCCAAAGAGCCAAGTGTTTTTGTATTCCTTGACATGGATTAGTTCCTCTGTAAATTAAGATTATTATAACTATGAATTTCATTTTGATCCTGTCAGCTGGCTTTCAGGAAATTCAATGTTCTCCTGTGTGTGGAGTTAAATAGACTTGGAATGTATTTTCATGATCCAGATGATTCCCTTGCAGTGAGAAGTAACTTTCTAATACTGCCAGAGCATCCTTGTCACCATAAAAGACACCATAGCTTTGGATATACATCTCTGATTTTGGCGACTGAATGATTTCTTTTATTGCATCAACCAACCACTGTGCTTTTTCCTCATTTGGTCATTGTGAGGTCTTTAGTGAGCAATGATTGTTCTTTTCACTCCCTTGTGCTGTATCATGTGTCTTGCAGATGGCTAATGTGAGAGTTCCGCTTCCAGCAAACAGACCTAGTGGTATAGGTGGAACAATGCCGTCTACTTCAACAGTAAGTAACTGGACTTACTTTTCTTTCCTGGTGGAAAATGCTCCAAAAAATCTTGGTTATTTTGTATCTAATGCTTACTAAATCTGTTATTTCCCTTCTCATACCTGTTTTGAATGCCTCATTCTCAGACTCAAACTGTCGTTGTGGAAAACCCTATGTCTGTTGATGAAAGTGGCAAATTGGTACAGCTCAACTTGATTACTTTTCAACTTTTCTTGTTAAAAAAATCTGATTTATTTTTCCCATTCTTTGTTTTCCATTCATTCCTTTGGAGTAGAATATGTGCTAATAAGATTTCTATCCATTGCAGGTCAGCAACGTTGTTGTTGGTGTCACTACAGAAAAAAAATAATCTGGTGAGATTTTGATATCTTGCTATACTTTTAGTAGGGAATGGCCCAGATTAATACTATGTTGTGAAGAAGGATATGAAAATTCGTTATGTATATTTTGTCTAAAATAGCTATGAGCAACATTTGTTCAAAACCATGTTGAATACACGAGCTGTTGGTGAAATTTGCAGTGTGGATGTGTACATTTTGAGGATATAAAGCTTTAGAGGGCATTCTTTCTGTCTCTCTGATTGCCGGACTGAAACATTGTTATGTTTGTACTTATATCTGGTCGAGTGAATGTGCATGTATCTTTCAAAGTGAACTATCATATACTGTATGCGGGGAATGTGCTTATTTGGTACTCCCGGAACCCTTGATTCTTGAAGATAAATTCTGTATAATTGAGTGTTCTATCATTAAAATAATGTTTTAACCTTTCCAAAGTAGTTGTATCTGCGTTGTGGTTTGTTTCTCATCAAGGCAATGACTACATTGCAAGAAACAGTTTACTTTTTTGGGAATTTAATCATTTATAGAAAATGGCTGCATTTCCTTTCAAAAAACGAACTGGGAGGTGCACATTATTGATGCCAAGGCAATTTTTGATAACTTGTGCTAAAAGAGAAGGGAGGAGAAAAGAAATGAGCCATGAACAAGTCTCCATAAAATAGTAAAGAGAGATCACTTCCTAAGCTTGAATTTTGTCTTGATTAGAGTTGTGGATTACATTTCTCGTCATATGACAATGCAAGTCCAAGCTCGAGGGATTCAATACTAAGAGGAGGCTGTCTAGCATTGAGGTTGAATTTATATTGAGTGTGTTTTAGCATGAAAAAATATTAAATATATGTTATTATAGTGTTTTCTATGGTGTTTTTTTAATTTTTTTTAATGTATTTTTAAATAAAATATACTTTTAAAAATGATTTTATATCATAATATAAGATACACATTAAAGGGAGGTTTTGGAGGCTGAGTCACGTATTGTTATGCTTGGCTTGTTAACCTATGACACATAAGCCCATTTCCCCTTGAAATGTGAAACATAAGAGAGATCACTTCCTAAGCTTAAATCTTGTCTGGATTGGAGTTGCTTTTCTCGTCATATGACAATATAAGTCCAAGCCGGAGAGATTCCTCATGAAGAGGCTGTCTAGCATTGTGATTAAACTTATATATTAATATTTGAGTGTGTTTAGCATAAAAAGATATTAAATTGATTATTTGTATTTTTATTTTTAATTAGGGACGGTAGTTGAAGGCTGGAGCTATGATATATATAGCCCATTTCCCCTTGAAATGTGAAACATGTTCGGTGTTTTTTTAATCATGATTTAACTTATAATATGATTGACTTCGTTAAACTTTGGGAGTTGACTTGATTAATTTGAATGGATTTTTAATTTTTTTATTTAAAATAATATTATTTTAATTATCTTTTAAAATCTTGTTTAAAGCCAAAGGTTTAAAAAATTGACAAAATAATATTACTTCGGAATAGATTCGAGTAGTCTACTAATCTACAAATTAACTAAAAAACTCGACATTGAAATCTTGAACTTGATAAAATCTCAAGCTGAGTCTAATAACTATAATATGGAAGCACCCAAAATAGAGTCTATTAAGTAAACAATCAAGTAAATATTCTTTATTATTTTTTAATCAGAAAATTATTTTAATAATCTAATAAGAGATGATGAAACATTTTATATAATTTGTTTTATTCTTGTTCTACTACTGTATAAATTCTAAGTAAATTGAACATAAAGCATGTATCAAACAATACCATTCTCTCATGTCAATGGGATTTGTGAGGAGGAACTCTCCAACACAAACAAGCAATTGGCATGACAAGATCATGAACCTTACCCTACGTGAAAAAAATCTGATGTTTACTGCAAGGGGAAAAGGACTTGAAACTTTTCCCAACCACCAAAACCAAAATTGTGAACATTAAGTATGATGGTTAGACAACCCAAAGAAAGTTAGTGGCACACTAAATGTGGCTTACTAGACTCAGCAAAGGGATTTGGCCATCCATTTTCCTCTCTGAACCTATATATATTGTCTGCCTTGTGCTGTCTGCCATCATCATTACACCGTTCATCCTTTCTATCCCAGTCCCTCTCTTCTCTTCTGTCAACATGGGCTTGCAAAATGAAGAAAAGCTTGAGCTTGGATGCTCTAGCTTGCAGCCAAAGCCAAAGAAATGGGCTCTCTTGATGGTGAGGGTGGTTGCATTCTTGGCCACAGCAGCTGCAACACTTGTGATGGCGCTCAACAAAGAAACCAAAACTCTTGTTGTTGCCACTGTTGGGAATACCCCAATAAAAGTCACCCTCACTGCCAAGTTTCAACACACCCCAGCATTCGTGTAAGCCTAATCAACTCATCTCCTTCCTTTAACATAACTGTAATCAGCATTTGTAAGTACATGAACATGGGAGATGGGAATTTAGGAGGGAAATGTTTCAGTATTTCTAGTTATGTGTGTGAGATATGGTGTACTGCAGGTTCTTTGTTATAGCTAACGCAATGGCTAGTTTCCATAACTTGGTGATGATTATGGTGGAGTTTTGTGGTCAGAAGCTTGATTACAAAGGACTGCGCCTTGCCATGGTCGCCATTTTAGATATGGTAACATTCTCACAACTTTTTTCTTTACCAAGAGACAAAAAAGGGGAGAGAAGACACTTCGTTAAACAAAAACTATTTTGCTTAAATGTTTGCAGATGACAGTGGCTCTGGTATCAGGAGGGGCTAGTGCTGCGATTTTCATGGCTGACCTAGGCAAGAACGGAAATTCTCATGCAAGGTGGGACAAGATTTGTGACAAATTTGAGACCTTTTGTGATCATGGTGGTGCTGCAATCATTGCTTCCTCTGCCGGCCTTATTCTCATGATGATTATTAGTGTCATGTCGATCTTGAAGCTTCTAATTAAACCAAAATCTGACAGCAGCTAGCATTGTTGTCCCATAATGTAAGGACTAAGTGAATCCATTCACTTTGCACCCTTTTCTGCTCTGTGTATTACTCTTGCAAATAATCAAGAATGTTGCCTTTATAGCCGTCTTTGATGCTATGTCCGGAGAAATGCTCTTGCTGGATATATATATATATTAACAATACATGACTAAAATAAAATGATAAAGTAAAATATAATTACAATCACATGAAGAAAAAAGAAAGAAAAAACAATGGTGATACAAAATCAGGTGAAATAAAGAAGAAAAAAAAACTAGTTTGAATTAACTTAAATCAGCATGACAAACTTCTAATAATATCTCAATAAAATATAAAAAAATTATAAAATTTAATTCAAGCTAATTATAAAAAAATTAATAAATAAAAAAATATAAAAAATCAAAGTAAGATAAGGTGATAAAACCCCACCACCGAGGTCATTTAATGGGATAATTTAATAAAATAAAAAAAGATTAATTTTACTAAATTATGAAAGATGAAACGAAAAAAGATTATTTTTTTTTTAAAGCGACCCCGTAATTAAACTGAAGAGGAGGGTCAACGGGAAGAAGTTTAAGTTTTCTGTACCACTCACAATCTCCAGAAGCAGGACTCCAAAACTGAAGAATTCAGATTTCAGAGGAAAAATGCCCTCCATGGCATTCCCGTTATTCCAGCGCACCCCTCAAACTATGATCATTGCAACGTTAAAAAATCATTTTAATTCAAAAATTTGAACTGTTTAATGAGGTTATAGGATATAATTTATAAGCTCGCAGCACAGAAATTTACTAATTTTGACATATATCAGGAAACTGAAGCGCGTAGCAGCATGGAGAGAAATTGTTGCTTAACAAAGATAAATGAATCCAAGCTGTTATTAGGCATGTATTCGTAGACTAGCATCTTCTCATCCCCTTGAATGCAGCAACCCAGGAGCCTGACAAGATTCATGTGCTGCAATTTAGCTACGAGTAGAAGCTCCTTTTTGAATTCAACAAGCCCTTGTCATGTACTTTTTGATAGTCTTTCTCTCTCTCTCTCTCTCTCCCAATCGATAAATTTCCCTCAAATAAAACATGTCATTAGTGATCACATGGATTTTACAGGGTTTTTGAATTTTGTTCTTTGAGTGATTTATATAAAACTTCATTGTAAACAGGTCCAAAACTGCGCCGTCCAAGTTTATTCTTTGCTGGGAAGCAATCTGTGGCAGCCATGATTGTTGCAGCACTTTCGAGTTATGTCCCTTGTTCCCCATCATTTTCAAGTTCATGGATGTCATTTGTTCCATCCAGTGTCATCAACTCATTCAGAAACTTTTCTTTAACACAGTAAGACATGAAACGTGGTGTTTGCCAAGCTTTGAATCGACAAGTCATCATTTTGATTTGTAGGCTGAGAAAATCACATGTCGTGTAGGAAAAAAAATCACAATTCACCTAATAACGTTGCATTATCAAGTCATAAATCACATGGTTAGGCCACTGACTTTGTTCTTTAACACAGCAACCACTCTCAACTGATTTATTCTGTGGGTTCAGTCATGTTGTACCTCCAACCATTTGAACATACGTGATTGGACGATGCTAAGAATATGAACCAGCAACGTTCAACGCAATAATCACAGCATGAAGAGATGCCAAACGAAAAAAAAGAGGAGTGTAATTGCAAGCAAAAGCTGCGGCAGCCATATTAGCAGATCAACAAAGTAAGGAAAAGATTTAAGCTAGATGTCGTGCCAACACGCAGGAAAAAAAAGAAGAAAAAGATGAACAGCAGACATGTTCACAAAGTATATAGATATTGGCATTCTTTTAAGGAGATAGTATTTCTGTATTTGGACTTGCTATGGGATCATTCCTCTGTGTTTGTAGAAGTCACACGTACTATAATATTATTCATCCGAATAGAACATCGACCCAGATATGCTAGGTCCTCTTATGTACTGATACATCCAATTCTCAAATCAATGGTTTTCAAAAGAGAAACCCTTTGTCCTGTTTGAGTTTCAAAACAAAGTGAGATAATATCTGGACTTGATATGGGACTGGCCTTCTATTATGATAAATACAGAGAATTGATGTGCATGTTTCTGAGTTATTCTTAATTCCTTCAAAGTTTATGAGCTTAAAAATCATAATTCAATTCTTTTTGCATGCTTCTGCTGTGAAACTTCGGTTGATTCTCTTGAATGCAACAAAAGCCGAGGCTTTCCGTGTTCGAAACAATGATAATCCTGTTGCATTTGGACAAATCATGATGCAAAAAGGGTCAAGCAAGGAGAATTGGTGCCTACTTATCTTAAATTTTATGGCAGGCATGATGTGAGAAAAGTATACGCAGAAAAACACAAAAGAGAGGGACCTTTGGTTGTGAAGATGCTCTGGTACGCATTTGTTTCTGAAGCTAGGACAAAATATCATGGCTAAAACCAATAACAACTAACACCTTGCAAAAAAGGATGAAACTCGGTAAAAGAAAGGCTAGAAAAATAGAAATAAGATCAGAGAGCAAAAGTTCAGCAGGAAACTGACACGCAGCTAACCAAACAAACTTGTGAAACAAGGCAAATAAATTAACACACGCAGCTAACCATGGAAATTAATGAACAAACTTGTGAAACAAGGCAAATAAATCCTCTCTGACACATATCATGTGATAGTTGATATGAAAAAGAGCAAGAAAGAAGCTGAGCACCCCCTTAGCAAACCAAATAATGTGGCAAGCAATGATAAAATGAAAGGACGGGAGCTGAAGCAACTCCATAGTGGCGAAACCAAGTACAAAGAGTATAAACTAAAGGGAAATAAGAGCCAACACCAAGAGAGAAAGATGAACGGGATATAGAAGAGTTGCTAGTGATGAATCATGTTTTTTTATTTTTTTTCCCCAAAATAATTATGTTGGAAAAGTTCAAAACACCTCTGGATAGACTTGGATTTGTCATGGATTGTTAGACTAAAAAAACTACTGACCTAACATACACTACTAGACCTAGCGTTCAGGCTTGATAAATATACAAGTCCAAACATGGGTGGGCTTGACGCATATGTCAGTGAACCTAGCAGGACGCCAAGCTCGTTCTCTATGGGCATGACATGGCACCAGGCCAGGTATAGTTGGGTTAGGAGTTTCTCATATCAAGATGTTGTTGGATCTAGTAGGTGCTATGATGCTCGTTCTCCAAAGGTGTTGAGCTTTAGGATTTTGTGTCATCGCACCCCAGATGTGCTTTAGACACTTCTTGTTTGTCTAGCCTAACACGTAGCTAGATCTACTATATTTATAAATTCAAATATAATACTTGAATATAAAATCATATTTTTATATATTTTTAAATAAATTTAATTAAACAAGTTTATATTTCATTGACAATATTAGGTGCATTAAAATATCTTGTAGTCTACCATATCTTCATTTTTTAACTGGATAAAATTAATGAAAGACAAATGTATTGTTATGATATTTTGAATAAAAAACACAATTCATACTACAAAATTAATTTAAAAGGGTGAAATGACTCTTTAATCTCTCCACTTCATCAAAAGAAGATTCATATGCTATATAAATATATCTTGAATTATATAGATAAATGATTTTGAATCTCTTAATTCTCTACTACATATATATTTTAAAAATATATTTTTTTTAAATTATTATTAATCTTTCTCTACAAAAATAATTAAACATCAAATAATTAATATACTATAAGAATTTTTTTGCAAGTACAATCCCACAAACATCAAGTTACACCAATTTTGATTATCCAGGTTAAAAAGAGTAGGTTAAATGACAAGAACAAATAATTAACCAATTTATAACTTATTCGAACTTGGATTTTTAAGGATATCAATAACTAGCAATCTGTCAAATCTTCCTGAATTGCTATTAATTTAACTAATTGTATATCAATTTTTCATTTTTTCATTGAGCAATTCTTTCAACCCCAATTTAAGTATCTATCAAAAAAGTTCAAACAATTTTATTGAGCTCAATGCATAAAAACTAGCAATAACACAAGTCTCATGTTGATATAAGTGATATATCAATTATTGATATTGAATTTTGATTAGATTTTAATACATATGATAATCAATTTAAAGAAAAAACTCAAAATAACAACCTACAACAATATATATTTTATTTATGTACATCGATTATATTTTATTTTATGCTATTTTATATCTAGTAGATCCACATCTTGTGTAATGGAATCCAATTTATATTTAGATTTGACTTAAGATTTATTTGATTCAAGATCAAATCAAATGGATTAACTAGCCTATTTAATTTTTTTTAAAAAAAACCCTAGAATAAGTATTTTTTTTAACCTAGTCAATATAAGTTAGATTGATATCAATGAGTCATAAAAATAACAAGTCACTAAGATGAAATGCTAAGATTCATAACTACACTTTTAACACTACTATATTAGTGTAAGTGGATAACATATTTCATGCCTCACAAAGTATATTTATATATTTTTTTGTTTTCTTTTAAATTTTAATTTAAATCAGTTTGATAAGTTAATTCGAGACTCAATCAATTTAATTTTAAAACCAAATTAAATAAAAAAAATGTATAAAAAATTTAACAGTTAGTCAATCCTACATCCTTAATTTATTATTTTTTTTATATAATAATTAATCCAAATTAATCCTCCCCAGTCGTTACCCAGATACATCCTTAAATCGGCTTTTAACACAATGATTTGAACCTCACCGTTTTGAGAAAAGAAGTTGCATGCGTGCATAGGAGGCATCTGGTAGTGTAACATACAAGTCGTCGTATAAAGAAAGAAAAACAGTTGGTTGTTTTCGTTAAAAACCGCGTGCGTTTTAGCGGGTATCAGCAATTGACTTGATCCTCTCTTCTCCTTTCTCTCTCTAAGACTTAACGACTTTCTCTCTCTAAACAAAGAAAAAAAAAAAAAAAAAAAACCCCGAGTCGTTCCTTTTGTTTTCTTTTAAAAAATCTTAGTATTAGATTTGACTTATTATTATTTTTTGACCTTATTTGTTTTTTTGTGTTCATGCAAGTTTTATGAGAAAAGAAACCTGTTTTTAGACAATTGGGATAGAAGGGAATTGAGGATTAGGTTTCTTTTTGTTAGGGAAATAGAGTTTTTCTTTCTGGGTTTTGAATTTTGGTTAGGTTAGTTTAAAAAATTGCTGGTATTGCAGGGTAAAGATTCTAACTTCTCGAGTCAAAATTCTTTCTTTGTTTGAACAGTCAATGGAACAGTTCAAATCTCCCGCAGAATCTCATCTCAAAGAGGTTAGTTTGATTCTGCCCCATGATTTATCTGTTCTAAAGTTTTGATCTTTATGTTTTCTGTTTCTCATTGACTGAATTGTTTTTATGTAAGATTGGTGTCATTTGGTTCTGGATATAGTTATTATCTGCATTGTACTAATCTGGGTTGTTGAGAAGATTAGATATTTGTCTTTCGATCGGAGTGTTAGGCAGAAAGTTTTGATCTTTTGATGATCATTCGTGCGTCTGTTACAAATCATTGAGAATACAATGTGTATTCATTATTTGGTTTCAGTGAGTGGAGGAATTTGATTATGGAAGGATTATGGAGTTTTTGTTTCGTGATCTTAAATGTGATTGTTGCCAATTTTTTGGTTTCTTGCTAAATTGGATTATGATTGTCAATTATGATAAACAGTTCTTTTACCATCCCTTGGTTGTTGTTTTAGATTGTTTTAGCAAGATTATGTTTCATTAGTTTCAGTAGATGCGCTGTGCTATTCCGGATTAGCGCTCTGATTATGTCGCTAATAAGACCAAGTTTAGGGTTTGCATGCAAAACTTTAACTTGGGTGGTATACTACGATCTGGAGTTCGAGTGCCTGGACGAGGAGTATGAATTTGAATTTTAATAGTGCGAGTAATTTAATTTATTAAATAATGTTTCGCAGAATCATTCTATTAAGCAATCCCCAAGAAGTGACAAGTCCTCTGAGGGCCCAGGAAGTCATCAAAATCAAAAGGTACAGACAGTTGATTTGGTTTTCAATTGTGGCGGTGTGGTGTGTTGACTCTTTTACTACTGGACTACAGTGTTATCAGAAGCGTAATCAAATTCAAATGTACAGTTTGTCTTCAATGGTATTTGGAGAACCTAGTGTAATAACTTCTGTTTTTGAACTTTGAAGTTTTTCACCATGAACAACTGAAAAGTATTTACTCAAAAACATACATTGCCCGTATTTTATTTTATTATTTGGATTGACAAATAGACCGCCTGATTTTCTTCATGAAGCAAAATCCAAATGCTTGAAATTCTTATGGTGCAGGATGTACTAGCTTAGTTGTTTTTTGAACCATTTAATTTCTGATGCTTGTTTAAGTATGATATGATTCATGTGGTACAGGTAAAAGCCAGATGGGATCCAAATGAAGCTTGTAGGCCTATCATTGAGGATGCTCCAGTGTTTTATCCAACTGTTGAGGTAGTGATTTGGTACACTAGATGATAGTACTATCTTATATTTAATTTTATAACAGTGTCATGCTTCTTTATTTAGGAATTTGAGAATACACTTGATTATATATCAAAGATACGTGCAAAAGCAGAGCCATATGGTATATGTCGGATTGTCCCGCCACCTTCATGGAGTCCACCATGCCGCCTCAAAGAGAAAGATACATGGAAACATAATAAGTTTTCTACACGAATTCAGTTTGTTGAATTGCTTCAAAATAGAGAGCCAATGAGAAAGAAATCTAAAAGTCGGAAACGGAAAAGAAGGAGACAGTTAAGGATGGGAATCACAAGAAGAACCAACAGGAGACGTACCAATTCTTGTTCAGAAAGTAATGTTGCTTCTGAGACTGATGAGACATTTGGATTCCTTTCTGGTTCTGATTTCACTCTTGAAGAATTTGAGAAAGAAGCCACTTATTTCAAAGAGTGCTACTTTGGAGTGAAGGATCTCATGGATGGTGTGACTGTGAACCAGAAATTGGAGCCTTCTGTCGAGGATATTGAAGGTGAATACTGGCGGATTGTTGAGAAACCAACAGACGAGGTTAAGGTATGAAAATAGGGCTCTTGATATGATTGTTTCTCCTGTGTCTTAATTTATATCCATGTTTAACCTCTATACCATTTCTCTTCTATCATATTACAGGTACTCTATGGAGCTGATTTGGAAACGGTAACATTTGGAAGTGGGTTTCCTAAGGCTTCAGCCTTGATGACCAAAGGTGATTCAGATCAGTATGTGGTATCCGGTTGGAATCTAAACAACTTACCACGCCTGCCAGGTTCTGTGCTGTGTTTTGAAGGATGTGATATCTCAGGAGTTTTAGTTCCATGGCTGTATGTTGGAATGTGTTTCTCATCATTTTGTTGGGTAAGTCACCAGACTACTATTTTTAAAGATATTTTAGAATAGAGTGATCAATACAATAAGCTCTGCTAGGTTTAGTTTAACCAATTTCAACATGACAAAGGCATAAATCAAGTTTTCTTGGTCTGTTGTTTTAGTTATTGATTCTTTAAGGTTCATGTATCTCTAGCATTATCAGCCTAGTACTATAAATTGATCAAGATTATTCTTTAGATTTAAGCTAACATCAATTGTTTGTACTGCATCTAGTTCCTATGCAGTTGGATTTTCCTTTCCTTTTCATTTGTTTACTGATTTGTTCTTCCCCTTTTCACCATTTGAATTGGTTTTCAAAACAGCATGTTGAGGACCACCACTTGTATTCGCTAAACTATTTACATTGGGGTGATCAAAAGATATGGTATGGTGTACCTGAAAGCTATGCTTCCAATTTGGAAGATGCAATGAGAAAGCATTTACCTGATTTGTTTGAAGAACAACCTGATCTACTTCATTGTCTGGTAAGAAGATGACTATTTAGTATTTTAAATATTTAGATATAAATTGAGCTGTTTAAGAGGTTATTTGTTGATAAAAGCTGGACAAGTTCCAAAGATGTCTGAAAAATGACGTGTAAAGTGGACAAACCAAATGAGAAGAGAAGGGCATTAGATAGCTGTCCAATATATGAACCTAGAAGCCCCACCCCCCACAGCTCACTCACACAATCTCTTCACTGGCTGGCTTTCTTTAAGTTGCTTACCTCAATGATAAAGCTGATTCATTGTGCAAGACACTCTCATATTAAGTTAGGAATCCACATGCACGAAAGGCTTTTGACCTTTTGTTTGGACCCCACTTTGCTTCTAATTTTTGTGAGAAGTTATCTAACATGGTAACTCCTTTTTTGGGTACAGGTAACTCAACTATCTCCTACAGTTTTAAAAGCTGAGGGTGTACCAGTATATCGGGTGGTCCAACACTCTGGGGAGTTTGTTCTTACCTTTCCTAGAGCATACCACTCTGGCTTTAATTGTGGCTTCAACTGTGCGGAGGCAGTCAATGTAGCCCCTGTTGATTGGTTGGCACATGGACAGCATGCAGTTGAGCTTTACAGTGAGCAACGGCGCAAAACATCTATATCCCATGACAAGCTACTGATGGGAGCAGCTCAGGAAGCAATCTGTGCCCTTAAGGAACTGTTACTTCTTGGAAAGGAAACTCCTGAAAATTTAAGGTGGAGGAGTGTCTGTGGGAAGGATGGAGTGCTTACCATGGCAGTTAAGGTACTCTTTTATCTGTCATGTTAAGATGCATACATGCTTGTATGTTCATGCACTTTACATTATTGAATATTTTAGTACCATCGGAAAGACAAATTTTTTCAAAATTATACTTTCAACAGACAAGGGTGAAGATGGAGCAGGAAAGAATAAAGTGTCTTCCAGCTAATTTAAGACTACAAAAGATGGAAAAGGACTTTGATTTGCAAAATGAAAGAGAATGTTTCTCGTGCTTCTATGACTTGCATTTATCTGCGGTGAGCTGTAAGTGCTCCCCTAAACGATTTGCTTGCCTTAAACATGCAAGCCAATTTTGTTCCTGTGAAATAGAACATAGATATGTCCTCCTTCGCTACACTTCGGATGAATTGAACACTCTGGTTGATGGATTGGAGGGAGAATCATATGCTCTGAAAGAATGGGCATCTGGAGAACACAGATTGGTTTCTGTTGGTGATAATGACACTCATGTGCCTGAGCTTGAACTTGAAGGTGAGGAATTGCAAACCTGCTATTCTAAGAGACAGGAAAGTCCACCTTGGTCTTCAAAAGCAGAAGAAAACTTAAGCACCAAAGGCTCTTGCAGTTTCAATAGCAATAGTTATTCAGAAGTAATCCAGTCAGGGAGTCATCACAACAACTTTAACAAAGAATCTTCGGTAATGAAAACTGAAGTTAAGATGAAGAATGAGGGATGCATTGATTTGAACATTGATGTTATGTCTAGTGACCGGGAAAGTAAGCTTCTGCTTGTATCTGATAGCTGTGGTAAAAATGTGAAGGAGACGCATGGTTCACCATGCATGCAAGACACACATTTCAGTTCAGATGCAGCAAAAGAACAAGGCAGGGAACAAGCTGCTGGAGACTGTAAATCTGAGTTGCATGAATTGTCAAACAAGAACCAGCCTTCATATCCAATGTTCGGTGCATCTTGTAAGAAGCTGTTTGGGGTTGATATTTCATTTCCACCTGCACATTCAGTGATGTCAGCAAAGAGCTTCAAAACTGAAATGGTTGAGGGATCAAATGTAAGATCTGTAACAAACCAAAGCAACCCAGTGAAGAAATTGAATCCTTGTGTGGAACCAATAAATGTAGGATCTGTCATTTTTGGAAAGCTTTGGTGCTGTAAGCAGGCCATATTCCCTAAAGGTACACTGTTTTATGATGTTTTCTTGGTTTTCTTAATTACATTTTCTGTTTTTGTAATTCATTTTACATATTGCAGGATTCATTGATCTATTGTTTCATTTTTGTTTATTTTTTGCAGGATTTAGAAGCCAGGTGAAGTTCTTTAGTGTTCGTGATCCAACAAAAATTTGTACCTATATTTCAGAAGTAGAGGATGCTGGTCCTCTTGGCCCTCTTTTCAAGGTCTGTTTTCCCCACCTCTACAAGTCTGCTTGAGTTCAGGACAGATGAAAAATGTGGATTTAGAGTTTTAGAGTTGAACTTGTCATGGATATCTAGCCTTCAAAATGACACCCTGAAATTTCAGGTATCTTTAGAAGAATGCCCTGGTGAGATATTTGCTGATGTTTCAATTGAGAAGTGCTGGGAGATGGTTCTGCAAAGACTAAACGGAGAAATTCTAAGACGAAACAACCTAGGAGAAAGAGACCTCCCCCCTTTGGAGCCTTTGCAGAGCATTAATGGGCTAGAAATGTTCGGATTCCTCTCCCCACCAATTGTTCAGGTAAAGCAACCTCCGCGTGCCATATTTAATTGATGCTTCTGTTACAGAGGCTTCTTGAATCTAATAGCATTTATCTGGTAAGACTAATGGAATATTTTCTAAATTGGAACTTTGTCATATATTTGAGGTTGCAGCACATATTCGCCATGGAGGTATGATGTGTTGCCCACCTTAGATTATACTATCTGAATTCACATGTTGACTCTGACTAAATTACTTTCAGGCTATCGAGGCTCTTGACCCCGATCATCTGTGTGTGGAATACTGGAATCATAGGCTTGTGAATTTGAGGAATGCAAGTGAAGTCAAGCAGCCCTCATTTGGATCAAGTTGCTGTCTTGCAGAAACCAAGGAAAAGGCTGACATTAACCTTTTGACACAGGACCCTGGTAGCTTATGTGTAGGAGGTCATTATTCCGTTGATGAAGACGTGCAGCATGTGCTGCGAGGATTATTCAAGAAAGCAAGTCCAGAAGAGTTAAAAATAATGCACAGAATACTCTGCAGCGACACGCAAAGTGCTGAACGGAGAGTAGCATTCACAACACTGATGGAAGAGATTCAGAAAACAAGTAGATAAATAAAAAGAACATGTTTAGGTTCCTTCATTCTTTCTCAATGAGGGTAGCTTTACCAAATCTTTCTCATAATTTAGGCCCATTCTTTCAATAGCTCATAAAAGGGAAAGAGTTCCCGGGCACGAATCGCACAGAAATGTTGTGCAGCGTGCCTGCTCGTAACGTAGATACAGCAGCATCTTGATTTCTGCTGCCTTCTGACCATAAGGGAGATTTTGTACTTCAGGAAATTTTACCAACATGTTCAACATGTAACTAGGGCTGACCAGAAGAGGGAACTCAGAGATTTGTCTACAATCCATTTAAGTTTCTTGAAAGTTGAGGTGCCTGAATGAATACATGTTCCTCGTGGTTATATTCCAAGCTATGTTCTTAAGGCAAGTTCTCTTTGACAGTCTTTCCTCTTTTCTCGCTGACCATATCACCTTCTTTTCCTTCCCTTCTGTAGCGTGGCTCGTCTTATGGTTACTCGAAGGTGTTACGGGTGTTATGGCAAACTATATCTTTGCCCTTGTAGATTCAACAATGTTCCACTTCTACCCTGTAGTGTAGAATTTCCCAATGTCACCCTTATAATTTCTTGAAAGTTTCAATTTTATCCTTTACTAAATAATTTACAAAAAAATCTCTTATTCATATTTTATTTCAGTAATTTCTCTTATTTTTCTTCTTGGATCCCCATAACTATTATAATATCTCGGATTGACACTTAAAATATAAAAAGAAAACTCAAAAACCAAATTAAAAAAGGTATGTGGTTGGATAATTAGTGCACTATTATAGCAATAGCTAACACCATAAATTAATAAATACAAATATTTTTTTTTAAAAAAATCTTTGATTAATATATAATAGCCGAGCAATTTAAGTATATAGTTCTCAAATTCAATAGGGAATTGATATAGAAATTTGGTGACATAATTAACTAACTTTTTGTTCAAGTTTGATTTTATTATATTTTATTTAAAATTTAATTAATTCGATATAAACTTAATTGAGTTTATTATTAATTTAATAAATAAATAAAAAAATAAAAAACTTGATGATTTATTTTTTATTTATGAAATTTGCAACAATGTGATTTTAAAAAAAAAAATATCTTGGGTTTTGTTAAAGTCAACAAGATACTCGATGATTTATTTTTTATTTATGATATTTGCAACAATGTGATTTAAAAAAAAAAAACATCTTGGGTTTTGTTAAAGTCAACAAGATAATGGGTTCATCCAAGGTTTTAAATAAATTAAATTTAAAATAATTTTTTTTAAATTTTTTTTTAGCTCATGTTAATTTTGAATTAACTTGTGAAACTGGATCAAATTTAAAAAAAATTTTTAGCTCATGTTAATTTTGGATTAACTTGTGAAACTGGATCAAATTTAATAAATATAAAGAGTTTATTGTTTACTTGTTTTAAAATATTTTTGAAAGTGTGAATATCCTAAGAAATATTAAATTAATTTTTTTTTATTAAAAGTAAAAAGTTCATTTTGAATTAGCAAGAAATTTTCACCCAATTAAAGCAGCCATGGATTCATGAATTCTGCATCAGGTATTGAGAACAAGCACAATTACACAAGTTTATTGCTTCCAGTTAAACCATGTTACAAACCCCACGAAATATCATTAAGCAGAGCAATGATCTCAGCCTCTAATCAGTTAACAACTCTTCTAGAACCCCTTTTACAAGAACAATCCTACCCTATCTCCTGAATTACAACATTAACAAAGAAGCACAAGACTATAGCTACAGAAGGTCCAACTAGCAATCGTAGTTCTTGAATATATTTTCGGTTCCTTAGCAAGAACCCATCAATGGCCCACCAGACTCGTTCTTTGAATCTTTGAAGCCAAAATCATACAAAAAATCAAGAATGCAGTCCAAACCTCAGTGCACGAGCAAGTCGCGTCTGACTCTCCATGGTGAACAGTCAACTCCTCATCGTCTGCAGTACTTGGAACAAATATTCTTGGAGGAGGAGGAAGAGAAACAGGAGTCCCTGGTGGTGCAGCCATGGTTGGCTCTGAATAGTTCTTGCCAGGTTCAGCACCAAAAAATGAGTAAACAAGAAGGTTGTCTATGCCATGAACAGCAATGGCAGCATTAGTGTAGATATCGGGATGCGTAAGGCGAGAGCCATGAAGAGTGAAATTTGATACAGAATTGTTGGTGATGAGTGGACATGTCAAGAATGAGAGTTGGGAGGCGAGAGAAGGCCTTAAATTGCTGGAGATCAGAAAAAGCGAGACGTTGAGGGACAATATGGTAAGGGAAGATAAAAGGGTCAGAGGTGGTGGTGGTTGGAGAAAGAGAGTTGTCAGAAGTTAGAGCATGTCAAGATCCCCTATAATTGACACAAAAAGCTCTAGGATTCTTTGAAACACGAGGGGCCAAGTAACTGCGAAGTCTTCTGATCCAACTTGTAGGCCTTCTAGTTGCCACAATCCCTTCTTCATCCCCATATATTAAGTGTTGAATTTTGTATATGTTCCCTGCTCTATGTGGAAATGGAATGCAAGACTCTGACATCTCACTCATTTGTCCTCCATTTGGACTAAACATCAGGTCTAGGTGTTCGCGATGAGAGGCAACGAGCATCATTAGTTAGAGGTACCAATTTGACCTCTTATAAGCATCATTTTTAAAGCAGAGTCATGTCTATTTAAAAACAAAATGTGTTTGTTTTAAATAAAATAATTTATATCAAATTGAAATATAAAAAAGAGAGAGGGAGAGAGAAAGAAAATGGTAATAAACTGTAGGTATTAAAAATATAAAAGAGTTCTTCGCTTTTTAGACAACTTTCCCTTTTATTTTTCTCTTGTGAAAAACTAGTATATTTCTGTCCTTTCATCTTCTTCTTGCATGTGTTCTTACAAAGGTAGACAATTGATTCTTTTAAGGCCAATGATTGATCTACATCTTTAAGTTCATATTCGGTTAAGTTGGTTTTAGTTTATATGTTGATTCATGCATACTTTTATTATATCATTTGTCAGGGGAATAACAAGCACTTCCTTGATTTAGTGTTAGAGGCCTACGAGAGACTCCATTTGTAGCAATGTGCAGGCTCTTTAATTGCTGAAGAGAGAAAGAAATGGAAAAAACAAAAGAAGGTGAAAGTTGAAAAACCTTGTTCCCCTATATAGAGCAATACAGGGACAGTTCAAGAAAATCTAGAAAAAGTGTCATCTTGCATGGCAAGACAACATGGAGCTTGACCATTTATGAATAACATTTGTTCATTGGCAAATTCTACAATGTATGGCTTGATGAGGCCACAAATAATTTCAATGCCCATGTTTGCTGACTTTCAATGTATCTTTGCAAAATATTTAATGCATTCTACAATTTTCTCATTCCCATAGTTGGTGAAAGTGATCAATCATTCGTGTTCTTTCAATTTCCATCATAGAGAATGCACTGTTCAGTAGCATTATTTATTAGCTTAATGTACCTGAATTTGTTTTACAAGGATCGAAACCCACCTGGTAAATGACCTTGACATCTTGAGACTGCTGTATCAATGCTCATAATTGCCAAATTTGAAGACTCAGAAGATTTTACATATTAACACATTTTCAAGTACAAAAGGCTGGACATCAAATTATACTATTGTATGCTTTATACACCAAAATCCACCCATTTTGAAACAAATGTTACAAACCATCTTGTGAACGAGAAAACTATGTGAGGTCATTCTCATCCAATGGCTCTTCCTCCTCGTTGGCAGCATCGGTCTTCAAAGCACTAACATCACCAGTTGGTAACTTTCTTGCTAGCTTGATTACCTGAAACCAAGTTTTTCAAGTCATGTCAAGCAAGAGCAACTGGCTGGCAAAGTGGTTTACAGGTTGAGGTACTAGCGAGTTGGTTAATTATGTTCTCAGGTTAAACAACTAAAGCCCTAAAGGTGGTGATGGCATCAAATCAAATGAAATTTCAGAGTCCATTAATCTGTCTTACAAGCACAGCGACAATCATTGAATGGAAAGCTTACCAAATACCACTAATTACGCATCTAAAAAATGCCTGATGGGATAAGTTTCTTGTAGATATGAGAGTAAATCCAACACCAATAATCAATAAATGACATATTACTGTTGATGTGAGACCAGCTGATACATTTTCAAATGGCAGGGTGAAAGAAAAATAAAATAAGATTTACCACATGGTCAAGATTTGAAACAGTGTTGGACTGAGCCAGACGTTTGATTTCTTCGATATCACCTTCTGTGTAAGCTGAAAGTAGTTTACTAGCACAGCGGTTCTGGTCACTTCTCAGAAAAGCATCAACCCTGCAAAAAAATATATAAATAAAAAATAAAAACTAATCATTGTAAACTACTTCCAGCACGCAATGACAGGATATTAAAGTACCTCTTCAACATTTTTAGTAATGCCGGATATTGAAATACAAGATGAAGGTTATTTCACAATGTTACAAGTTCAATATATTCATTCAACATAACATTAATTCGTTGCAATTTTTTTTTTAAGTTCTTGTATATAACCAGTTAAAACTCTCTGGTACCAGACAGAGTCAAAAGAAGCTACATGGCACAACAAAGCATCATCATATAGATAGAACATGCTGAAAGAAATTTCAATAAATTGCTGTTAGCTAGAGGATGCTGACAGAAAAATTAGCTTACTGCGAGCAATCATTGTAGCACTTTTCTGCTTGCTTGAAGTCATGAGCGTAAAGGTACACAATAATTGCACCAAGATATGCCTGAAATAAATAAAGATAATGTAAGATTAACAGAGATTCTTAGACAAGAAAAAAAAACAAACCAAATCATACTGCACAGTGTGAAGAGAGGCTAGATGTCCTAAACGCGTAAAGGGAAAAGGTTGAGTTGCCTCAGAGCATGATCAGCAGTAGATGTCTTGGTTAATATAGGTTTAAATACAATTTAAGGAAAACAACAAACAGAAAAGGAAAAACACACTATGGAGAGTGAAAAGTAGAAAACAAAAGAAATGCACTGGGCCGCAAGGGAAAAAAAAACACATAAAATCACACCTTGCACTGGCTATTGGTGGCATTGCATTTATCTGCTGCTAGACCCAATCGCAACAAAGAAGCTGCGGCATCACTATACCTGCAGGTAGGAACAACATAATAACACTTAGAAGTTTGAATTGTACAATAGCAGCCTCAAATTAAACATTGGGCGGTCAATGAATACAACTAATACATAAGAAACCCTTACTTCTCAAGCTTTATATTCACACTAGAGGCAGCACGGTATAGATCAAAGGCCATCTGTTCTTTGCCATCTTCTTCGAGAATAGCGGAAGCATCATTGTACAGCTGAACAGAAGCATCAGGTATAGTATCTTCCAGTGCGCTATGAAGGGGGAAAGAAAGTACATTTCAAAGACAGTCTGATTTGGCGGGTAAATTACAATGAATACTTTATCATACGGAGAATGCATGCATGTCAGTTGGAGTGAGCAAAAAAAAAAACTCAAGTGCAAATTTATCCTAGTGTCGAAGGATAAGTTACTAAGAGAGACAATGAATTGCGAAAGGATAAAAATAACAAAAAAAATCAAATTAAAGGTAAATTATTAAACTATACAGACACATGTTTGGAAAGAAGGGAAGGGGGGCACAGATCATTTTGCAATCATGAACAGACAACATGACTTGTGTGCAGTTATTTGTTTACAAATCATTCTGAAGTTAAACTGATATGAAGATTGAGTCTTGGAAGAAATGTGACTATTCTATACAGTTATTAGGATCTTGACAGGGTATGGGTTCTGAATAAAAAATGGTGTCTAAGCTTGGTGAACCATTAGAAACTTTATTGGCACTTTCCATAAATCCTTAAGTTTTTCTGAACCTTAAGTTTCACATGAGTTCCGAAGTGTTAAACTGCAAATAGCTACATAAAAATGATTTATTTCAAAGCATTGGAGTTCTGAACACGAAAGGAAAAACCAAATCCTCACCGAGCAGCCTTAGCTAGAGCATCTGATGCCGGCTGTGGTCTCCCACACTCCATGTACAACTCAGATGCTCTTCTATAAAAGTCAGAGACTTCATTCCAGTTGCCTAGCTCCTTTGCTAGAGCAGCAGCAGACTCCATATCTTTAGCAGCATCCCAGGGTCTGATTTTCTTATTAAGTATATAACTAAGCGCAGATTACACATACCAAAACCAAAAAAGATTAATACTTTATGAATCACTCCTAGACTAGAGTCAACAAAAACAAGGATACGAAGAAAGCATCTCTTGTCCTTTGGAAGCCTTCTCAAATGCTTCTTTTGCCTTTTCATTTTTCTTTGCAACCCTAAACAAATTAGCTACAACAAAACAATCATTAATAAAAAAAAAAAAACCCACCACAATCCATTTCATTTTGCATCAAAAAAACAATTCACAAACACACAAACTCAGTCCCAACCAGCTTCTTCATACAAAAGGGTGGCATTTCTCCAATCAGCACTCCATCTTGTAAGACTAAGTTTAGTCCTAACAAAACAAAAAATACAAGTAAACAAAATGAAAAATATTCCAGTCCAAGAAATGGGCCACCTTCAGATTTTCACAACAATGAAGAATCTCAAAAACCCAACACCTTTTCTCCTAACAGACATGCAAATCATAAAATATTTTCAAATGGGCAGATTAAAATTCACGTTAACAATCAACCCATTTAAGCTTAAGCTATCCCAGTAAAGAAAGTCAAGTTCTTTTCACATTACTCAGTAATCTATAACTTCAAGAATTCAGTCTTTAGACGTCATATCTAACCCAAAAAAAATAAAAATCAAGAAACAACATTAATACATAATCATTTAAAACCATGAAAAAAAAAAACCAGAATGAATCCTTTCACGTAGAGAGAAAGACAGAGAAGGGGGCTTACAGTTTATCAGCCTTGGCAATTAGCTTTTCGGGATCGGAAGCGGGCATGATGATGGTAACGGAGGACTGATTTTTCTTTTTCACAAATTGGCAAAGCAAAGCTTAGCAACCAGGCAGTCTTGCTGGATTTTACTTTCTTCTATGCTATTTTTGTATTGTTATTTGATATATACCCATTTTTTACACATACTAATTTATATCCTTTGCATTTTACTTTTCAAAATATATTTTCTTTTTTTAATTAAAAATATTTCACCCATGTATGTGTGTGTGTGAAAATGGATTTTAAATAGCGCTTTTAGATTTTTTTAGAAAAAAAAGTCTAGATTGAAATAAATAAAAATTATTTGACATTTTATCACTATATGTATCATAATTTTCAGCGAAAATTACATAATTATTTTATAGTTTAGTTTTTTATATTTACTCTTTATATTTTAAAAAAATTATAATTTACATTTTAATCTTCTCATGAATATTTATTGTATGGAATTATATGCAACTAGTGTAACTAATTAGATGTAAATAATAAAATAATAAAATAATAATAATAATCAAAGTCACCACTGTCTTGCACTCGCAAAACTTGGCTAAGTGAGTAGGTCTAGTGTTGAACTTCAGCACAACCCATGAACACTAACCACCATGCACTTATACAATAACCAACACTCTCATTTCTCCTCCCATGAAAGGCCACTTCCTCATCACAGCTATCAAACCCCATTTCACCACTTTAACTTGCTTGAGTTGACCAGTCTCACGATGGCTTCCAAGCTTGATCTCTTGCTAATTGCCTCTGCTTTCTTGTTTCTTTGCAGCTCCCATTAGTGATCAGCTTCTAGCAAGTCATCGTGAGTATATTTGGTATTGTGATAGCTGGTATGATTATAATTTAAAAAAATTATTTTATAATAAATATTTTTAATTAAAATTAGTTTGAAAAAATAGATATTTAGTTAAAACTATAATTAAAAAAAAAATTTAATGTGTTTGGCTAAGAGTATTTTCGAAATCGAGATTATAAAATAATTTAAAAAAATATATATTAATATTGATAATTTTAAATTTTAATATTATAAATTTAACTATTGTTATTACATCATGAAATAAATCATACTTTATATAAATTTTTTTTTATTATTCTATTAAATTATCTATAATTTTATTATATATAAAATTCATCCGACAAGAACTATAAAATTAGATAAAATATTATCAAGAATAAAATTGAGATTACAATACTAATAAATTTAATTTATTTTAAATTAATTTTTTTAAATTATATTTCATATTTAAACAATACGAGTGAAATCAATTAACTATATTAATTTTTCAAAAAAAACTATTCAATAAACAATAAATCACAATTATTTTATTTTAACGTGTAGGAAGCAGCTCTATAAACAATAACAAGTGTTCGTTAATTAACCAAACAATAATTGTGCTTCTTCTTTTTTTTTTTGCATTTCAAACACAGTAGATTATTGAACCTATAAATAATAACAAGTGTTTGATAATTAACCAAAAGTTTGTAAAATAAAACTATAAAAAAACATGGATGCTACCACGTAGCCAATCGGGAAATCCAAAAATGCCGGCGACCACAGAGTTTGGACTTGACCCACCTTACCTTCCGAAGCCAACTTTTCCAATACCAGAAGATGAAGAGACACAAACACCTCCCAGGTCCACACTACCTATGCTTCCAATGCCACTTCAACAGCCAATAACACCTCCTCCTCCTCCTCGTCCTGCTGCTGGCCAAGATGGGGCCAATTTGACTTCAGCTTTCCCATTTCCTCACTTGCCTCCTCTACCCAAATTCCCTCCTTTTCCATTTATTCCTACAATGCCATCAATCCCTGAACTCCCCTCAATTCCTTTGCCTCCACAATTTGTGGATTCAGGCTTTTCTTCATCAGGAATTGGAAATGAAGGTAGCCCGTGAAGCTATAATTGCCTTTTCCAGGTAGAACTAGCCAGTTTGCAAACTAACTATATCATCAGGTGGTTTGAGTAGGTTGGCAGCAAATGTTATGTCTCATGCTCATCTTGTAGCTAGTTTCCTTTTCCATACAACTAATATGGGATTATGCCATTGTTGATGTAGTAATTAATGAAGATCTATAATAACATGGTTGATGTTAACGTTGCAAATTGCCATGAACACACTGCTCCGTGAGCATTCATCAAACTAATTCCATCAGCAGTTACAAAAAAGATAATGATAGAAAGATTAAGGGAAACATTACACAGTACTAGTTAGATAAAAAATAGGAATAAGAAAAGAAAACACAGCAGGATAGACAGAAGCAAAACATGTCCCTTACATATGACTTGGTAACGTCACAAAGTCACAGCTTATTGTTGTTTATTTATTTATTTATTCTCCTCCTCCTCTCTTTTTCCATGGCTATTTAGAGGTCACAAGGTAATCAAAAAAGTTCAAAAATTGATCATGCTGGAGGAGATAGGGGGAAAGGGATGGGAGGGAAAGGGAAGTCAGGAAGTGGAGGGACATTAGGAATGTCAAACGGAGGTGGAAATGGAAATTGAGGAAATGGGATTCCAGGAATTGGTATGTTTGGAAATGGTGGCAAGTTCTTCATCTCTCCCAATCCCTTCTTGGCATTGATTTTATCAAACTTCATAGGCTTTCCATTTTCTTCCTTGAGTTGGCGAGCATCAATCTGTAGTGCAAGACAAGTGATCAACAGAAACAAGCCTAACAAGAATATAGGTTTCAAGACCACTTACAAGGAAATTTTAGCCATGACAAGGCAGATTTTTGATGTCTAGCTCTCAACCTTGTGGGTTCATATATATGCAAGTCACATTTATGAGTCAGCCTTCTCAATCTCTCTTTCTTTGTCTAAGTAAATACTTGTTGAAACTCAAAACCTCTTTGATGATTGTGCCAACAAGTGGAAGAGTCATAGAGAGGAGAGCACAGTCATAAAGAGGAGAGCACAGAGGCCAGATTACTACAGAAATTAAATGCTGCTAAAGAGAATTGGAAAGAGTGCCACGAAACATAATTTCATTGATCTTTCTGCTGAAACTTCCTACATGCATGCCCTTTATTATACTAAAAAATAAGAAGCAAAAATGTCTTGGAAAGGTGTATGCATAACAAGTAGATACTCCAGCATGAAACCATTGCATGTGTCCATATAACCAGCAGCCAGCCATACATAGCCTGCAATTGTATCACACTATTGCAGGCAAGAAAATCACCAGTCTTTAAGTTTTGGACAGTACCATTCCCTGCATAGCGTATAACGATAAGAAAAAAACAAAGTTTCTCAAACCCTAATATATCATTTATCAATTCTCTCTGCGGTTTAGCTGTAATTTTAGAATTTGTAAAAGCATGATTTCTTTGTGTCAAATTTGAGGCCTTTGTTCATGCATTTTCATCTCCGTATGTGGTAAAGAAGAAAACAAAAACAAAAACCCTCTTCAGAGAAAGAAGTTCTTGCCTCGTGTCTCCCCCCTCTCCGGCATACATGATCTCGTTTGTGAAGTTCTGAATTCTTTCGTTTCCTGGGTTAGCTGTGTTTTCTCGGTTGTCTTTCGACATTTCCGCTATATAGACGAGTAACAGATTCCCAAAATACACAGTCCAAATTACCCCCCCGTAGATTCCAAGGTTGGAAATTTGCAGCTCGCAGTGCATATCTCCATTACTTGGAACCAAGTGCATCGCATAGAGCCTCAGAGACAAAATGTGTCATCAAAATTGCCTTGGCAAAGGCCATTTTTTGTAAAATGTCACAAGGATCTCTCTAAATTTTCTTTATCAGATTGCTAATGAACTTACCTAGATTTCTGACAAGACATCCAGTTACATAATCTTAAACAAGGAAGACAAAATACAAAATACAATTATTAATCAACTGTTATCAACATATGGCAAATGCTTTAACATTTACATGATAAAGAATGAATCAAAAAATTGGTTAAAGACATCTCACAAGCAGAAGGGAATGCTTCAAAAAGCTACAAAAGCATATTACAGAAGACATCTCACCAGTCTCTCAGTCCTCAGCTGTTTGTCGTGGTATTATATGTGACTTTGACAATGACAGACAATGGAATGTTGAGAACATGACCCTGGTCTCCAAACAGTCCTATCCTTCCATGGCTAGCAGTAGAACTATTCATTATTGCATCAAAGAACACACTCAAGACTTGCCTTTCCCCACTGGCAATAGAGAAGCGGGCTGGAACCACCTTTACAGTCACTCCATATGGAGCACTCCAACCAACTTTATACGTTTCATTACCAGCAATGTTAGTCACAGATCTTCTGACCGTTCTAGACTGATATAGTTTAGCGATTGTGATGGAGGGAAGATTCAGGTCAGTGCCATTGATGGTTGAGTTATAAGACAAACAATTTTGTCCTGTGTAGTTCAGGACTACAGGACTAGATCCGTTAATGCCACAAAGAAATGACATATAGTCATCGTAATCTGCAAAAGCAGAGTATGAAGTTAGAATGAGATGCATGAAGTTCACAAGTAAATTAATAGATCACAGATAGCAAATGCAAAATTAAAATCCAGATTTTTTCTAATAATAATTTATACAGTATTAAATTGATCTAGACTAGCCAAGGTGCCTCTTCCACTAGCAAAATATGGCTCTAGATAAAGTTCAAGGACGTAAAGAATTTATGTTTTTGACTACAAGAGTTTGAGCATTGATGAAAATCCTTCAATCAAATGTTCGCTTTTATTAAAAAAAATAAACAATTTAAAATGGCTTTAAAGACATCTTTAAACAACAACAAAAAAGCTTCACAATCAGAGTAGTTCGGGTTGGCTATATGGATCCTATTAAGACATCTTCAAAGGAGAAAAGATGCATGATTAATGCATCCAAGGAGGCAAGGATAATATAGGTGGATAAAATATTTTCTACAGTGACAAGATAACAATTGCTATCATTACCAGATTTTACGTACTAGCTCCAACATCCTAAGTCAATAAATGAAGATTGGCAAAAATTACTTGATAACTAGTAAACAGGTTTATATGATAAATGTAAACTTACTGGATTCGAAAATCAAACCCGGATCAATAGCAGCAGTTGCATTCACAAAACCACTTCCCATGTCGAATGGCGTGGCTGGAGACTGATTTAGATCTGGGTTGGCATAAGCACGCTGAGCCATTATTGGCCCACCATTATTGTCATATAAAGAAGCAGTTGAGGAAAGTGCAGAGGCAATTGCTGAAGGACTGAAACTGGGGAATTTTTGCTTGATCAGCGCAGCAAGCCCAGCAATATGAGGAGCAGCCATACTCGTTCCAGAAATCATTGCAAAGTTCTCACCTAGAGAGAATAAGATACATTTTACTTGTGTAAACCTTATAACTAACATGGAATCTCAATCGGACTGCTCCAGTATCCATATTCCTACCTTGAAATTCAACTGAGTCCGTGCCAAGTGAACTCCATGCAGCCCATATTGAATTTCCAGGGGCTACCAAGTTGGGTTTCAAAATGTCAGCATCATCAAGAAAACTATCTTCTGGATCTGGTCCTCTTGCAGAATAGTACATGACTTTGGGAGCAGAATTGGAGTAGTTAGCTTTAAGTCCACCTAAAATACTTGCAACAGCACCAAATTTAGTAATTTGCTTTGTAGTTTCGTTCCTCTCCAAAGAAGAATTGTAGTATTGGAGTAAAACCTGCCACAAGGATCATTCAAGACCAAGATTTCACATAAGTGACAATTTCTGTTGAAGGGAAAAATCTCACAAAATGATATCATAGAAAGACCTTGCAAGCTAAAACACTAAAAGAAAAGAATAGTCATTTGCCAGCAAACGTAATGCACAGAAACCTTCACCTTGGAATCATCCGGGGATGGAATTATGATCCCAGGCACACTCATTGGAATTGGATTAAACTGGAAACCAATTACAAAAGGATCCATGTAGAACACCACCCCAGCTGCACTGAGGTTTTTGGCTGTTTCTACAGCTTGTTTGATTGTGGAAAGTCCAAGCACAAATCGAATTGAATAACTACAGATCAAGAGGTTTCCTTCGATAAAATCCTGATTGAAGCTACTGGAATCTTGACATTCACCCACATACATATCAGCAGTGACTGTTGTCTCATTGTTCACGGCATGAAGTGCAGAAACAAGGGTCAACATGGTGTCTTCATCTGTTCCCGCTGAAGGAAAACGAAGCAAGTATATTAGACTCTTATCTCAATGGAAATATGTAGAAAACTATTGATTAATGGGAAAACAATAGCATCAATTGCTGCTATGCATTTTACTGAGTTTCTTTGTTTGCAAGTTCATTTCAAAAGACTGCGCAGGGAAACTAAGAAATGGAGTGATGATGATAAGCTTACGTGCAAGTCCAACTCCATGAATGGTTACATTGTTGCCGAGTATTATAGAGTTACTATAAACTCTGTCATGAGAAGCCGCACCAACGGTGAAGATCCATGGGCTGAAGGAAGACATGCTCTTAGGCGATGGCCCAGTATTGCCGGCAGCTTGCACAGTAAAAAGGCCAGCCTTCACAGCTGAGAGCAACGCCATGTCTATGGGATTAAAGAATGTTGCAATACCAGGAGGACGCCTGTTGGGAGTGATAGATAAACTTAAAACATCAACCCCATCCTGAGCTGCCTGCAAATACAAAGTAGGTGATAAACATTTAATTATGATGACCATATGAATTGATATTCTAGCAATGCAATCTCCAGAGATTTCTCTTTCTTCTATCTGTTTGTAGAGTCGAGCTACTCCAACAATCCCAACTATTTGGAAGGGAACCTTCTCTTGCTTGTCATTTAGCAAAACTGCTCTACTTGGATAGATAGCAGTTTCCCAAGCAATTAGAACCTATTAAATCTGGCCATAATGAGGCAAAAAACAAATTGGGTGGCCTGAAGACAAGAGGCAACAGCCATATGATGAACTCAAAACTGTCTAGATGAAGGCCAAGTTCAGTCACAGTCCATAAACGAACAAGACATTGATAATCAGCAGCGTATAAATCGATCAAATGCCCCAGGCAGTTTCAATTTCCAAAGTTCTTTCATCTTTTGAAAAATTGTGTAACACAGTAACATAATCATTTGCAGAAACAAACCAGATTAAATATATGTACCTGATCTATAGCAGCAACAACATCAGCAGCGAAGCCTCCAAAACTCTTATACAATGCCTTGTAAACAGAGATACTGGAAAAGATGAACATGCAATTAATACAAAAGAAGAACTACTGCAAGTAAAAGTTTTACAAAAGTGAGATTTTCATTGTATGATAAACAGAAATTACTGTGCACGAGGAGCCATCCCACTGGCATTCCCAAAACAATGTCCGGCAACTATCACTGGAATCCCATGGTTTCCTGCAGCAACAGAGGCAGTATGCCTGAAAATAAAGATAAGATTCACTAAGACTAACTGTGTATTGAAGAATTAGATGAACATGTTTACTGTGTTACATATCATGGAATCACAAGAGCTGGAATTGGATCAAGATCTTTACAATAATGCATGTCAAGTAACCACCAGTGTTGGTTCTATCATCAATGAAATGAGCGCACACTTACGTTCCATGGCCATCACCATCAAATGGAGAAGCATAGTCCTGACTTGAATTGAAAATTCCCCTGGTGATAGCAGATGCTGCAAAATGGCGTGCCCCAATGAGCTTCCTATTGCAGGAACCAGAAGGGAAATCTCGAGTAACCTCACAAATGCCCGAAAAATGGCTAGGGACTGGATATGATTTCAAAGATATGTCATCAGAGAAGCTGGGGTGAGTTGGATCGATGCCAGTATCAACAAAGCCAATCACAATTCCTTCACCGGCAGTTTCATATCCACCTGCTTTGACCCAAGCCCCTTGTGGCAGGCCCAGGAACTGTGGAGTATGTGTGGTTGCAGTTCTAACAGAGAAATCCAAAGCCACATTTGCCACTTCTCTCCTCCTCGAAAGCTTAGAGGCCTTAGAAAATGATATGTACAACCAAATTAAGAATTTCAGTTTTTTCTTTCCAAACAAGAACATAAATTCCCATCACAAAAATAAAGCTCGCAGGGACTTTGGAAAAATATTTATTAAAAAAAGCTACTAATCGAAGATTTTACAAATTCTGTGGCCAAGGCCCAATAGCTATGCATAAAAAATACATTAGTAATAGAAGCATCATCAATGTGCTAACCCGCACAATTATGGTCACTTAATAATGATGAATGATGATTTATGCATACCTGTTCCGGGGTAACAAGAACAGCAAACCCATTAATCAAGTAGTGATAGCTGTACAGCTTGAGATACTTCTCCCCTCTCAACACCCTCCTCAATAATGAATCATGAACTCGAGCAACATATGAACTAGAACTCCAGTTGGATCTCGAATTATCCCTGAAAATACAGCGAAATCATTCAAAAACATAATTAATTAATCAAGTTTCTGTCATCTAGTTCATCATCCCCAAAAGGAATACAACTGAAGGGACAAACTGTAAGGGGGGAGCATGGATTTCAAGCACAATCATTGGCTATGTTAGGTGAATTATAGACAAATAATTAAACAAAAAAAGTAAAATCTGGCTAAGCACTCATCAATTCAAACTCTGTGATCCTGATTAATCCCGTCAAAATATGGACGCAGCGGTCAATTCCTCAACTAGTTATTACAGAAGAGTTCAAGAAACAAACAAACAATAGTAAAGCTGGAAGGAATAGAAAGGAGAAAATAAATAAGTCATGTTTGTTAAGGAAGTAAATCCTTATCCAGTGATGTATGACAAACACAACCTTGCACAATGTCCACAGAAACCCCACATGAGGAACAAGATAACCCAGTTAGAGGAGACAAGACAGCAGCAATAAAAACTCAAACAGTTAGCGGCAAACAAGAAACTTACATTTCATCAGTATTTAGGTACTTCTTTATTGGAGACAAAATGACCAACATGAAATTAAACTAAACTAAACTAAAAAAAAAAAAACATAAAATATGGTACAAGCAACAAAAACACACAAAATTACCAAAATTTTCGTCATTAGACAAGAAAACACATAAAAGCACAACAATTTCACATATTAAAAACCATACAATTTAACTAACCAAGACAAGACAGTCACTGAGATTAAAAGAAACACGAAATGAAGCAATAAGGTTAGTACCTTCGATTGTGAAATTGATTTGGATTTCTAGGAACACCATGCTTGAAAACATTAGTATTCTTTCTAAGCTTTCCATAGTAATGAGAAGCAGGAGCTTGTTTAAGAGTAACAATGTAAACAGCTGTAGTTTCATTGGCGGAACCATCATCAACCTGACACAAAGAGCCTGCTAACAACCCCAGACCAAGCACCGTTATCATTAAATGCACCAAGCAGATACCTTCCATTGTCAAACACCAAAACACAACAAAAGCTTAACTCTTTAACAACAAGAAGATCAACAACAACAACAACTCATGATGTACTTCACTTTTCAAGAACCAAACTTTTGTTCAAGAAACTAAAGAAACCCCACAAAAGTAAAAACCCTTATGTGGAATAGTTTGGAAACAGCTTTGAAGAAGTGGAAGTACAGAAAGAACCCACTAAGCTTCTTCCATTGGCAGAGAAGCTACAAGTGATCGTGAAGGGATGAAGAAAGTACCCTTAGTTCACACTTTTTAGACATATGCAGAGTCGAAGTATTAATAGAAGAAATATTATAGTATAGAAAAAGAAGCTACTGTTCAGAATTTTCTTGGGGACGGTGAAGATGAACGTTTTGTTTAATAAAAAGTTAGAAAAATATTGGATTGATGACGAGCGATTTCTTTCGTCTTTTTATTCCTTTTCTTATTATTATTTTTTTTAACTGTGAGTGGACGTCCTAGTTTATACTTTATACATACTTGATTAATTCCTAAAATACTGATTTTAATGATGAAATAAATTTGTAATATTTTTGAGATTTGTAATATTTAAACTAATTATTTTTAAAAATAAATTTAAAATTCAACTAGTTAAATTATATTTTTTAAAATTATTTTTTAATCTTTGTTGTGCTTGTGGGGTGGAAATTAATTTCTTGATTCTCTACTTTGCTGGTCAATTGTTAAAAAATTCATGTATTTTTTTTTAATTGAGAAGGCAGCATTTTAAATTGTAATTAATATTATAAAATGATTTCATGAATTATATGAGAATTGTTTTTTTATCTATAAGCCTAGTTTTCCCTTCTTTTTTTTTTATTTTAATGGAGTGACTTTTAGAAATAGAAGTACATGAACTTAATGGTCCAACAATCCCCAACGTTTTATTTTATTTATTTTATTTTTTAGCACTCTTCGTTTCATTATCCCCAACGTTCCAATTTCACGAGACTTTGTCTTTGCCTTCACCCGTGACACTATTTGTACCCATACACCATTTGATTCATGTTTCGTACCTGTGTGGTAACACGTTAAAAATTTGATTTAAAAAAAATATTATTATTATTATTTTAATCATTTTAATGTATTAAAATCAAAATTATTATTTTTTTAATCATTTTAATGTATTAAAATCAAAAATAAATTTTTAAAAATATAAAAAAAATATTATTTTTATGTATTTTCAAATAAAAACACTTTAAAAAATAATCTTTCTCACAATACCAAACACCATCATTAATTATGCATTGGAAATTAACTAGGGTCAACTTGATATTTATTTATTAAAATTATATTATATCTCTTAGTTTTATTAAAAATAAAAAATTCAAAGTTTAATTTAACCAGAATTAAATTACTTATTAATCAAGGTTGTAGGTCCTTAAATCGAGTCTTATAATTATATACTAAACAACAAGTTTTAAGGTAAATTTTGAACTACATAAGGGAAAAAAGAAGAATAATGTGAAGTCATAAGGGTTGGAATACAATTTACCCCAAAGAAAATTCATTATGCGTTTAATATATTAATATAATGTTCTACTAATGCAAGAGTACAAATAATATCACATTTAATGAATTAAATACTACCATACCTTGTACCATTAGCATCTAGTTACAGTCTCAGACACGATATACAAAAGGAGAAAAAATGTATATAAGTAAATAAGATATTTTATTTGTTTTCAGCATCTTAAAATAATATAAATTAATTCTAAAATTATCTCATGATATATTTATTCTATACGTATTACACACAGCATGGGACAATGCACAAAATATTTTGCATGATAATAAAGAATCATTGTGAAAGAATGAGAGATGCTCTGTGGGGTGTGTGGGGGGGTGGCATGCAGTGCGATGAACACCGAAGGTGACGGTGGTGCACATGTGAAAGTGGAAAACATGGGGGGATTTTGGCATCGAATTCTACCTCCATTTCGGTGGAATCCTTCTTTATGAGGCCATGATTTTCTTGGCGTCGAGGTGGTGCATGGGTGGGTCATCCGACCGATCATGCCATCATCTTCAACTGTGTTGGAGACTATTTTCTTTAAATATAGTCGTTAGGGTCCCTTCTGCGCTCAAAGGGACCCTTCCCACTATCATTAGCATCACTTTCTCTGTGATTCTAATCAATGGCCGCCTCCATGTGAGTTGATGAAAAGGGGTCAGCTTGACCATGCCATGTTTTGTGTGATAAAACCAAAAGGTGAGAGAGCAGCTTCGTGGCATCCTCAGATATTAAGCTTTTATGCTTCTCAATCTCTTCTTCTTCACTTTTCTCGTCCTAGTTCATGTCCCAATCAAGATTTCTTTTTCTTCTGGATTTAAAGGTATATTTTTCGTGTTGATATGATGCTTAAAGTAGCGTTTGATCACTCCTTTACTTTTGAAAGAAATGAAAATAATGATGGTAGAGCGAACAGGCTCCTCGAAAAGTTGTTTCATATAATTAATTTATTTTATATATATTTTTGTCTTTGTTACCATGAAAAAAAAAATAAAAAACATTCTAATTCATTCATTATGCATGTATTCTTTTCATCTGATTTCTTCTAAAAACACTACCTAAACATAAATAATTTTGAGTTTATTCTTTAAAAATTATAAGTTTAAATTTTATAAATTGCAGAATTACTAGAAACTTAAATAATTATTAATTTTAAAATTTATAGAATTAATTGAAAAATATATAAACTAGTTTGGATAGTATCATTAATAATAAAAAATTGGGATTTCCAACTATCTTCGCCCATCAAATTTGTCCCTTGTAAGGCACTTGATAAAGAAGATTTTTGCTGTGTTCCATCATTATTATTTGATCTTGCTTGTTCTATTCATGTTAAAGGGATTAAAAAGAGTGATAATTGGAATTTATTCTGAATAGAATTAGTGTCCTTTTCTATAGTTAATCACGAGTAAAAGCCCTGTGCCCTAGCCGTTGGACCTACCAACTTTGTGACTCGTGAATCCATAATGACATCGGTGGACATTATGAAGAACTTGTTAGAGATTTTTGTTAGAAGTTTGATGATTTTTTTCTGTAATTAATCTTATATTTCAGCTATTGATTTAATAGATGAAGGTTTGTTATGAATACAATTTCAAGTGAGTTTTTAACATATATATATATATATATATATATATATAAGATTTTAATACTATAGATGTATATATGCTTTGATATCATGAAAAAAATTAATAAATGTAGGTATGCTAAGAAAATTAATAAACTTGTTAGAGATTTTAGTTGGAAGTTGATGATTTAATAAATGTAAGTATGCTATGAATATATAATTTCAAGATAATTTTTAACATATATATAAAAAAATTTAATATTATAGATGCATACTTTGATATCATGAAAAAAATTAAACGGAATTGTAGTTTTGCACACCCTTTTCATAGAAGGGTTATGTTTTTTTTATATATTAATTTTGAATTTTTATTGCTTGATTTTTTTAACAATAAACAAATACTTAATATTACAAAATTTGGTATTAATCAATATCGGATAATTTTTATGGTTTAATCATATTTAAAAAAAAATTAATTTTTCAAATTTTAAATTATTATTTTCATGTTTTTTATTGTTTAAATATTTTGGTGTTAAAAATAAATTTCAAAAAAATATAAAATATTTTTAAATATTTTTATATAACAAACATCTTAAAAAAATATTTACCATAATCTCAAACAAAAAAATAAGAAAATACAAGAAAATAAGTTGGAGGAGTTAACAGTGCATGAGACGAACGATGGAAAACGTGATTTTAAAGAACTAAGTTGAAAAGAAAAAATGTACAGTGACCGAAGTGCCAAATAATAAAAACCTCAAGGACTAAGAGTGAAAGAATGGGCTATGAACAGTATGCGAAGGGAGCTACAAGGCAACGAGCTATCAACAATGAAAAACATGTCTGTTTTAGTTTATTTGTTAATGTTAATTCCTTGGACTTGGGCTCTGCTGTTATTTGCAATGGAGAGATTTATTACATTGGGCCAGATAGAACAAGGCTATCCTGTAAAGTGATCCCATGGCTTTGGGCTCTGAAACACCTCTCTCTTGGGGTGTCAATGGCAGTCTTCTTATGAAATCTGGTAGTTTTGTTTGATGTTTACCAGAAAACGGAAACGGATAAGAGAGGAGGGAAAACAACAGTCACTCAAGAATGGCATCATTAGCAACATCAACACTCGTGTACTCTACTCCTGTTAGAATCAAAACTAGTTCAAAGCCAAGGTCAAGTTCAAGAACTTGCAAGAAAACAGTCCCTTTCCTTGTTACTAGAGCAGACAGTTCTTCTCTTCTCCTCCATGCAGCTAAGCACACTGTATGATTATCATCCCTCATTTTTTTTCCCTTCGAGGAGCATGCAAGTTTTCCAAAAAATTTATACTCTTTATGCTCTTTTCTTCATCATTGAATGTATGTGTTCAATACCGAGAAATTAGTTTCTGTTCTAGCTTTGAGCTGGGACTGCATTTTTTATTCGTTTCTTGATCTCAAGTGTGGATTTCTTGAAATTGGTTTGATTGGGATTTGTGTTAGGACTTTTGGGTTACAATCTAGAGTCTAAGAATCAACAAGAGACTGAGAAAAGAATTGATAATTCACCTGCATTGTTTGTGATTTTCCATGCAAATGTTATCTGGGGTGAATTTACAGGCAAATTCGTTTCCATGTTGATTTTCTAGGTTGATAAACACATACAAAGTGGCATGGTTGTTGGTTTAGGGTCTGGACAGGCTTCTGGTATGGCTATACAGTATCTGGGTCGGCTACTCCGAACTGGGGCTTTAAAAGATATAGTTGGAGTACCCATGTGAGTTCATATTCCCAATTTCCTGACATTATCAATGATGGCATTGTCTTTTTCACCATTCAAATAGGTTTCTGTGCTGCTTGATGAATCTATATGATCGCCTTTTTAATGTATACTCGAAGATTAGAGAGCAGAGTTCAATTCCTACCAACTTGTCTTAGTTTCGTCTTTTTTTTTTCTTTTGAAGAAAATTTATCATGACTCAATCTCATAGATAGATAGTATGCTATATACATATATATATTCCTGCGTGGCCTTGCCTTCAGTCTTTATTTGTGCTCGAGTCTCGTTATTGTAGATGATAGCTCACTTATACAGTTATACATCTGTTGTGTTCGGCTTTCACTATCTTTTAAAGATTTTGCAGTAGTCCTATCCATTCTTTTGCTAGAATGTAGATCTTCTTTTCATTTGCTTCCAGGTCTGTAACAAGTGCAAGTGAAGCAGCAAGGGCTGGCATCCCATTGGACGTATACCAAGATAGTTCTCAAGTGCGATGAAGTT